GGCCGTCGCCTTCCGATCCGCCACGCCGTTACCGGACTTTCCTCTGCCGCCATCACCAGAGTATGATTCCTTTTTTTGTGAAAAATTTTTCTTTCACGATTTGTGATAATTTTTTTGATCTGAACTTGAGAAAACCTGAAAATGTCGTCTCCGAAAATCCCACTTGAGAATCTCGAAGAACCCCTCGTGCTTCCTCGTCCGAAGGGGCTCGAAAACCCGAAAAACTCGGAGAAGATGTCGTCGGCGCTTCTGGGGTTGAACCGGAACGGCGTCTGGCGGCGGCTCTTTTCTGGGGAACACTCAAAACCCAGAAAACGTATATTACATTTCTGGGGATCACACATATACATATATTACATATATATATATAATATATATTACATAAACCCAGAAAACAATTTAGCTATGAATTCTTTGGTGGATTATATCTTCGTCTTCTTCTTCTTTTCTGTGCGTTGCTTGGAGTGACCTGTTGTTTCCTTGTAATATGAATTTGTTTGTAGTTTGGCAAAACGTTATGTCGTTTACTGAGTATTGGTCAAGTCTTGGCAAAATGTTTGAGATCTGAGTATTATTATTGTGATTCATAATAAATATGTATGTTATTGTTGTTGTGATTTTTAATAAATATGTATGACATTGTTGTTGTGTACACAGAATGGATGCTAATGTAAGGAAGCATCAATGGACTGCATTGGAAGATTCAAAGCTAGTAGAGTGTTTATTGGATATGGCTAATAGTAGAAAATGGAAAGGATAATGATACGTTATGTCTGGTTACTTACAACAATTGAAGAAAATAATGAATGAAAAGATTCCCCAATGTGGGCTTAAAGCACAACCACACATTGATTCTCGTGTAATTGAAATGTTAGGCCCTGTCAGTAGTGGCTTTGGTTGGAATGATAAGGATAAATGCATTGTGGTTGGGAAAGATATGTTTGATGAGTGGATTAAGGTTAGTATTTTTTTAACCGGTTATAAATTTCAAGTTTTAGTATATTAGGCTATTTTAATGTTTAATTTACATTCCATATCTATTACAGAGTCACCCAACTGTGAAAGGCTTAAAAAAGTCACCCAACTGTGAAAGGCTTAAAAAACAAGCCGATTCCTTATTATGATGAGTTAGGACTTGTGTTTGGAAAGGATCGTGCTAATGGACAAGGTGCAATGGGATTAACTAATATGGTTGATGACATTGATAAAGAAACAAAAAATGATCTTGATTATGATCCATTGCTCATGTCTGATGAGCACATGGATACTGCAAGTATTGGCGGTCCTAGCATGCAAACAACTTCAACACTATTAGCATCAGGAAGGTAAAAGAGAAAGAGATCTCAATGTGGAGATGTATTAGTTGATACTTTAACTGAGATAGTACAGAAATTTTTTGATATGTATTTTATTGCTGGTGAGAATGTTCTTGCGCAGCTAAGGAAATGTACTTGCAATAAGTTCTTAACAACTCAGGAATACACTTCTACGCCAGTTATGGATAATAACTGTGTTCCAAAAAAAATCTCAGTTGCTAACATAAAATATTGAAAAACTTGCAAATAATTTTATACCAAAATTCACTCTGATAATTATCAATTTAATGCTTCCTTCTTGCCGATTTTAACAGATTTAGGACATTTTCATATACAATAAACGTTATTGAAGCTGCGGGAACATTTTTCAGGAGGTTTGGTGTGATGCCTCTGTAAAAGCCTCTAAGACCTTCAAATCTGCAAGCCCCAACACAACAAATCAAAATGAAGGGGGGCAAAAAAAAGATTTCAAAAGTAAAAACATAATATCAAGGGGTACAAAAGCTGGGACAAAAAAGTAATTCTAGTTTTACAGAATCCACAAAATTTAGACATAATACATTCTTGACATCCATAATCTGTATCATTTCTACAGAGCCCCCCAAAAAATCACAGGATATATATATATATATATATATATATATGTATGTATGTATATTTGCTGGGAAAAAAAATCACAGGATAAGTGGAATCATAAAGAGAGATGTTTTTATTCTTTGTCAATATGATTATTTATTGGGGGAGGGACTTCATTCTTACCTTGCAGTATCCTTCACGACATGCAGGCTATCCATATATCTTGGAACTCCCTCATTGCAAGGTCGTTGCTGCAGAGGAAAAGGAATATAACCAAGTTATTATGAAATACAAAAGAGAGAGTATTACAGATTATGTACATTTAGTATTATACCTGCAACCGAGCTCGTATGACCTGAAAAGAAAAGTGAACGCAACAGCATAAGCAATAATTAATGAAAAAAACGACCGTATATGTTTGTAAACCATCACCCTTTGGGGTGTGGGTTGGAATGGTCAAGCCTTTGGTTTGCTCCCAAAGGTATGGGATTCAAACCGCCTCATGGGCACCTACATGACAAAAGCCATAGTTTCCTGTCTTTTAAAGATTGTAAGGTTGGCTCCGGTTTCCAACTCGGCCCACAAAGTGGGCTCAAGAGATTTCTGGGTATCAAAAACAAATATATATATTAATATATATATATATATATATATTTGTAAGCCATCACTATGAAGGAATGCTAACCTGGAATGGATACGACAGGAGCATGGCAACAATCTTGGAGGATGCTCCCAAAGCAGCGTAATCAAATGAGTTCTGTTAAAGAAGCTATATAAGGACTTGTATACATTTGAGCATTAACCAAAAAGAAAAACACTAAAAAAGGTTCTTTGTTACTTGAAAATAACTTTTTTCACTCAGTTTTATAATGGACGCTTGCTAAAACACATTACAACAAATAATATTGGAATCTTGGTCCCAAAACTTGAAGAGCCTTAATATATTGACCAACTTGAATATGCATTTATACACAAATAGACGTATCTCCAAACATTCAAAAAAGATCTCTATGCCAAATATTATACTCGTGAGGAATGTTTACATAAACAGTTTTCCAGCACTATGTAGAACGATTGGTAAATGGAGCAAAAACATGTTGCAGAACTTCAATATCATAGACTAGACTCAGCAACCTACCAAAGGTGTATCAGAACTTCCGGACTTTTCTGTGTTTTTCCCAGACTTTAAGTCAATAAGGACTTTACGAAGTTCCTCATAAGCTGTGAATTGTATAGCACCATGAGAAACCTGCTGAAACAACACAAGACCTATAAGTAGCAAAATAGCCAAACAAGCAAGGACAAAAATGTTTTCTTTCCTTTTTTTTTGTCTCAATAAATTAATCCCAAGCAAAGAAGCATGTACTACAAATAGTCATCTACGTATAACTGAACACTAATTTATCCGTTAAATAGGTATCTTCTAGAGCCAGAAAATTAAAACAATAACAATGACTGACGATCAATTGGAAGGACATGCAAGTATATCTACAGCATACCAGAAAAAGCCCAGGAACGATCCCCCTATAAAGTGCAATCCATCCTTCCTCTCTCATAATGGTTCTCAAGGCATCTGGAGCGTTATAAAACAAAAAGGAGTTGGATATATTATATACAAAGTAAAGACATACTATGCATACAAGAGAAGTCGCGAACCCAGCCTTCACCTTAATATGTGCTCCTACTAAGACTCAGCATTGCCAACTAGGAACAGGAAAGTATCTAATCAAACGCAGGTTAGCAAATGAAAAGAGGAGTGCTGGAGTCAAATTTTGTCTTGACTCCAAAACTCTTTTGATTCTCAAGAATTATTCTCTCTCTCTCTCTCTGAATTCTAGTAAGACTACAAGAAATGGCGAAAAAGATCCCTTTCTCTATTGGGGTACAGGTATTTATAGATTTCTATTTCTCTGTTTTGAGCTTTTATTCTGAAATTCCTTTCCACGTCAACTTATAAGTTTAGTTCGGAAGATTCTGGGGTTGTTCTTTTGCATTTTTGAGTTAGGGTGACTTGAGTGATGATCTTGAGTTGAGTTTGAGTTATAACTTGAGTTGAAGTTGTAACTTGAGTTTGTGTTTAGATGTGCACATTTGAGTTATGATTTGAATTGAGAATTTTTTTGAGTTTGTGTTTGGATTGGTCAAAACTTAAATTTGTATTTAGATAGTATTTTAATAAAAACTCAATAGTGATGAAAAATTTTAATAGGGTATATGGTATATGGGTGGGGTTTTATTTGTCTTTTCGTTGTGAATGCATAAAAAAAAAATCATCTCAATCAGAATTAAAACGAAAAATTTATAACATTTTTAATAATAGAAAAAATACTATTCATTAGCATGAGTTCGAGTTTATGAACTCGAGTTGAAGGGGAAACTTGAACTCGAGTTTAACCCCAAACTCAAGTTCAAACTCAAATTTTACAAAAGAACATGAACTTGAATAAAGTTATAACTCGAGTTCAAACTTTTTCTGAGTTTCGTTGCAAAAGAACAACCCCTCTATTTCTCATTTAATCTTCCACGTGGCTTTTGAATTCTTTCTTCTTTTAGTTGGAACGTCGTTGTATGCTTTTAACTTATGCGACATCGTTTTGGAGTTGTTCAATTCTCATCCCCACATCAGCCCTATTTTTCCTTACAAAGTTGGAATTCTTTCAAATTTAAAAGGAAAACAACAAATTTTCTTCTCTGATTCTCTGTTTCCTTCAATACTGTCAATCTCAGTTTTTTTAATTTCATCATGTCTGGGTCTGATTCTTCCTTTGAAAGTCTCCATCTCGAGTGTCAAATTCCTGTGAATGTCGCCCTTTCGACTGTTCTTGATTCTGCCTACTTAATTATTGGTGAATCCATAGATCCTGAAGATGGTATGTTCTATATTGAGCACCTTTGAGTTCTCATATTCCCTCTTCCATCTTTGATTCTCGATTTCTTTTCAACTCTTCAGATTTGCCCTTTTCAACTTCTGCTTGCCAGTTTTCATATTCTTTCATGTGCCTATTTGGCAAATTCCATTAAAGGTTTTGAATTCTCCCTAGATGATATTTTTGAGGTTTATGACCTTAGTTGATGCTGAATCCATTCATCTTTTACTACTTCCGTCTGCTTAGTGATTGACATTTATTTTCTAACTTTGATTTTTTTGAACCTTCTAGTTGGGACAAATATGTTATTCGTGTTCAAGGCTTTTGGCGTTCCGATCCATAAACTCTTCTTCTAAATCATCTTGGCCCTGTTGATGTTGAAATCCCCGACCAACTTAATAGAAATGTTCATGTTGATTGATATCATTATCTTCCAAAGATTGCACTTAAAAAACTCCTTAATGCTCAGAAGTTGCTTTCTTCATATGCTCTCTCTAGAATAATTGACGAACATTTCCGCGCTCTCTTTCTTAATTCTCCAAATCTTCCTATTGACTATGAATGCTCGAAAGTTCTCAAAACCTCTGTGCCCATCCATGCAATCCTGATTTCTGCGAAACCTCCTAGTGATGCTAACGTGTCTTCCGACCATTCTAATGCTTTGCAGCCCTCTAATTCCAACACTCCCCACCTTTAAACTCGGACAATACTCAATTGTTATACTCCATTCCCAAAACCTCTCAATCCAACATGAGCATGACAAATCATCCTCAACTTTCCCCTTCTCATCATCATCCTTATTCTCGACCTTCTAAGTCCGCGTATTCTCATCATTCTATGGATCATACTAGTCCTTTTACCTTTTGTCCAGTAGTTTCCACTCCCCTTGCTTTGCCCGCACCGCCCCCCATTAATCCTGGAGGTCACAATCCCTCATTCCCTAATAGTGTGATTGGATTCCCAATTTTCGCAAGCCCGATGGTTCTTGGATCCAGAACACTGATTACTGCCTTGATCCTATCTCTTTTAATATAGACACTAATAGGGATATTGAAAAACAAAATCAATACTCCTTGTCACAGTTTGAAGACTTTTATGCCAAAAGCTTCATGTATCAAAAACAAGTTTTTTGCAGTTTGCTTCGCTGTTGGAAATCACGAATATCGTGATATTTTATTCTCATAATTTCTCAGATTGTCTAGATCTCTTAGATTAACTCCACCTATACGATTGTATAGCCGGTCCCAAGCCCAGGTAAAGGAGGAGGGTTGCGGTAGTTGACGGCCAGCATAAAAATAAGTCACTCTCATGGATTTCACTTACATAAAATCTGTTGGGGCATTCCCTACGTGCGACACGCTATGCCGGGCCCCGGGTATAGTGTTCAATAGGCAAGGGGGGTCTTCACACATTCATGGACGTGTGCGGGGGGGAAAACGAGCCCATGCGCCATGTCGGGCCCCGGGTATGGTGAAAAATATGCAAGGGGGGCCCTTGCACATTCATAGATGTGTGCAAGGGGCAGAGCTAGCCCATGATAGGAAAATTCGTTTAGGTAGTTGGAATGTAGGTTCTTTAACAGGTAGATCTATGGAGTTAGTAGATGTTATGGTAATTAGAAGAATTAACATGTTATGCTTACAGGAAACGAAGTGGACATGAGAGAAAGCAAAGAAGATTAGAAATTTAGGACACAAGTTATGGTATACTGGTTGGGAAAGGAATCACAATGGAGTTGGTATTCTAGTGGACAAAACTGTGAATGATGACGTAGTTGAGATTAAGCGAATAGGGGATAGAATTATATAGATATTCATGGAGGAAGAAAGGAGAGAACTCTCTTATTCATTGTATACATTACAGAGGAATAAAACACCTTTAAATAGAAAAGAAGACAATACACAGCTAACTCTAGGATCCCATATAATCAGGGATTTTATTCTATCACTTGATCCTAGGATATAACTTTCCTAATTTATTCAAATCTCTAATAATCAAATCCTAACCCAATATTCCTAATTTACCGACACTCCCCCTCAAGTTGGTGCAAAGATATCCATCATGCCCAACTTGTGATGAGAACATAGCCATCAAAGTCAATCCGGAAGAAAGACAATCAACCTTAAACGTCCATCAAGCCAATTGCATGGCCAACTTGCATATTCCAAGAGGCTTAGGCGCAATTTCCAACAAGGGACCAAGTCAAATTGAGGATAAAGAGTTGATTTTATCATAATTCTATCTTTTTGGGTTTAAGTTTCAATTTAAACATTTAAATTACATCTTAGGCGTTTTTAAGGAAGGAATTAGATTCAAATTCGGATTCCTTCCCTAGGATAAGTTTTTAGGCGTTTTTTAGGAAGGAGTTGGAGTCAAATTCGGATTCCTTCCCTAGGATAAGCTTTAGGCTTGCGTTTATCTTGTTTTTAGGTTTATCTTATTTTAGGCTTCTATCTCATTAAAGATAGAATAGGACTTTTCAATTTTTAAACCTTTTCAGCTTGTTTTTGGCTATTTAAAGGCTGAAAAACGAAATTAATAAAAAGTTTTGATTTTCATTCACTTTGTGAGATATTCTTCTTGTGTTCTTGAAGAAACTATTCCGAACTTATCAAGGTTTCCTTGTGGCGTTCAAACTTGACTTATCAAACGAATTTCCATACTCGTTTGTGGCGTCTTCACCATACCAGGGTTCTTGCTTTGCTAAGCAACAGGTCGCGGTTTCCATCAGTTCTTGAAGATCTTGGATCGTATTCCATATTTGGCTACGGGTTTCGTCACATCGTTGGCGGGGTTCGGATCAGAGCTTAGGATCGTCAAGTTTTGCTATCCTTTGTCCTTGTTTAATTGCGTTTTTTTTATTTTCTTAGAAAAAAAAAATTTCGCCCCAATTAGGGTTAGGGTTTTGAATTCGCAAAAAAAAAAAAAAAATTGCGATTGTTGCTAGTCATTGTTTAGAGCTTGAGTCCAAACCCTATTGTTGAATTCGAATTCAACTAGGGTTTTACAAAGTCAAAAAAAAAAATTTCAAAAAAAAAAAAAAAGGCAACCTCACGAAAACTGCTATAACTTTTGATCCAGGGATCATTACGGGACGTATAATATATCAAATCGAAGATCTTTTCGAGTCCTACAATCTTCACCTGGGAAAGCCCAGTGACCCTGTTTTTGGAGCCCAAAAAAGCTTATTTTTCATAGTTTCAGAGCCTTTAAAGTTTGAGTGTCAAAAAAAAAAAAAAAAAATTTTTTCATGACAATATTTCAATTTGTTTGGATTAAGTCTTGACTTGATTGACTACTTGAAGTCCTTTTCTTATTGTTAGTTTAGTTTTGAAAGAACTAAAAGAAGAATACGAGGGGAAAAAGGCAGAGTGTGTGAGCTTATTAGAGGGTAAAAGCCAAAATTAACTGGAGTGAAACACGAGTGGTTTGAATAAGTTAGTCTTCGAGAGAAACACTCCCTTTTTTTTTAATCATGTCGCAGGAACCGGAGAAAAACACACGCGAAGAGATTCCACCTACTGTTATCACGAATGTGCAAATACAAGCGTTAATGGGGGAGATGAAACGGATCATGAGGGTGGAGCTCGAACACCTACATGAGAGTTTAGATAGGGTGGAAGAGGGAACACCGCAGATTAAACCACCACCGAATGCTCCAAGGAAGAACGTGATGCCTCAAAAGGAGGTGGAGGATAATGGAGAGTTCGAAGGGGAAAATTTAGAGGACGAGTTTGATAGAATGTCAGTGGGCAGCCATAGGAGATATGGACGGAATAGAAAAGCTAGGGACCAAGCGGATAACAACTTGGGAAGTATCAAGATGAAAATCCCTGTGTTTCAAGGGAAAAGTGATCCGGAAGCATATCTCGAGTGGGAAAAGAAGATGGAGTTGGTTTTCGACTGTCACCACTACTCCGAACTAAAGAAGGTAAAACTTGCTGCCATTGAATTTACTGATTATGCTATTGTGTGGTGGGACCAAGTATGCACCAATAGGAGGCGAAACGGAGAACGCCCTATTGAAACTTGGGAGGAGGTAAAAAGGGTGATGAGGCGACGGTTTGTACCAAGCCACTACTATCGAGATTTATACCTCAAGCTGCAAGGTCTCCATCAAGGTAACCGGAGTGTTGATGAGTATTTTAAGGAGATGGAGATGGCAATGATTAGAGCTAACGTGGAGGAGGATCGAGAAGCAACTATGGCCAGCTTTTTGAATGGGCTAAACCGATAGAGGTCTTTACAGATGCGGATTGGGCAGGAGCTATTGAGGATAGGAGGTCTACTTCTGGATACTGTACACTCGTATGGGGAAATCTGGTTACATGGAGAAGCAAGAAGCAAACAGTAGTTGCTAGAAGCAGTGCTGAAGCAGAATTGAGATCGGTAGCTCACGGACTTTGCAAGGTTTTGTGGCTGAAAATGTTGCTAGATGAACTTAAAGTTGGAGTTATGCTACCACTACGTGTCTATTGTGATAACAAGGCAGCCATAAATATCTCACACAATCCTGTTCGTCATGACAGGACCAAGCATGTGGAAGTCGATCGGCATTTTATCAAAGAAAAAATAGAAGAATGAACTATTTGCATGTCCTATGTTCCTACTACTCAACAAGTGGTTGATGTCCTGACCAAAGGATTAGCTAAACCCATCTTTGAAAAATTAGTAGACAAGTTGGGTATGTACAACATATATTACACAACTTGAGGGAGAGTGTTACCGAATATAGGACAATTATGGAGGAGGATTTGTAGCTGTTTAGGAGGATTTGCAGCTGATTCAAAACGAATATTCCTAGAGACTAGGGATTAGTTGTTTTATGATATTCTATGTGATTTGTCTTTTATTTGTTATGATTGTTTTTCTTATTTAAACCAGCCGGTCTCTCCTATATAAAGAGACTAATGTAGAGGTTGAATGTGTGTGAATAAAAAAGAAGCAGTGTTTTTCCTTTTTCCTCTGCCATCTCCTCGAATTCCTGCTATAAACACCTTTCATCTTCATAATAACCTTTTTTTTTGGTACTATCAACTCTGAAAAAGCATGGAGTCAAAATCTTCTCTGCCTAAAGGAAAACTGGGGTTATCCTTTTGCTCTCCCTGTTCCATTACCCGTAGGCTTGATTTTTTTTTTTTTATGCTTCCTTTTCTTTAAAATTCCTTCCTCATTATTATTTTTTTGAATCATTTCTTATTTCCAGAGGCCATCCCTACCTCCCGACATTCCCGATAATGATCTCCATCAAGAGCTTTTGTGGAAATTGAGTGAATCTCCTTACACCGACTTAACTTGTCTCCTCCATCCTGAGGGTTACAACTTTGCTTTCTTGAAAAGCATTTCCCCCACACACCTAAATAACGATTTCTCCTACCTTGACGAAGCCAAATCTCAATTTTCCCATTGGGTAACAATTGAATTTCCCAAAATCTTTGTCTTGGAAAAAGCGAGGATGCAGAAGAAGGAAAAACTCAAAAACTCTTCACCAAATCTTTCCGATAAATCCTCTAGATCAAAACGCCCTCAGAAGGAGACTTGTAATTCTACCAAACTTCTTAAAGCCCTATCCGGTCTTTCTGAGAATCCCACTCCATCTGAGGATCAAAAAATCCTTAACCAAAATTGTAGACTGAAGTTCCAGAGGACCCGAAACCCCAAGTTGAAGTTCCTCAAGGTTCTGATTCTCAAGCTGAAGTTCCTAAAGGTCCAAATTCGAAGTCACTGTCACCGACTCTCCTGAAGTTGAACCTCCAAATAAAAAACAAAAAATTTCAGGAGAAGTTTCGGAGGAGAATCTCATAGATTTGTATCGCCCTCCTATTCCAAACATTGTTCTTTGCGCAAATCAATCTCAAGGTCATGAAATCCCCGTTTCCTCTACTTTTGATCGTTGGTCTATTCATGTTTCATCTATTTCTGTCTCTCAAACTCCTATTTTTGTTTCCTCTCAGGCACTTTTATCTACTCCCGTAGTTCAGAATCTATCTCAATCACCCATTTCTCTTTCTAGCCTATTTCTTGTTTCTCCTAATATTTCGAAGTTCTTAACCACTCCCTCTTCTAACGTACCTGGGTCACAAGTTGACTCTCCAGGCGAATGAATCAACTCACTTTCAAATGAAAGTGGAAATCTCCCCTTCAGTCCAATGCCCCTTTTTCTTCCCAAGTCATTTTCACCACTTCCGATAATTTCAATCCCACCATCGTTCCAAGTGAGGTTGCTCCCTACGTTCCTTATGCCCGCAGAGAGCTAGTCCTTCATGCTGCCACAATGCCCTTTGTTCCTACCCCACTTGTTGATTAATCTGTTGAGTGTTTTCTTCACCCAAATTTTCATTAAGTTGCCATCTTGATTTCCATTTTGTTTTACATTTTGCTTTCTTGTATTTAATTAGCACACTTGTTGTTTGCCACATCCCACAACTTCATGCTACTGCTCAGGTGGTTGTTGACAAGATTCAATCTGCGGAAAAGGATCTCATCGAAGTTTGATCTAGATCGAATCCAATGAGAAGTTGTCTTCATGAAGCTGAAGTTTCTGTGCTCAAATGGAAAGCATTTTCCGAAGCTAATAACTTTCACAATTGAAATCAAGTTTAGCCAATTATCAAAAGGAAAATGATTCACAACAACACAAGGTCACTAAGCTCTCCGCCTATGATGGTACTCAGAAGGAAAAATCTGTTGTTGATGACAAGGAAATCTCTTCTTTAAGGAGCAGATATCTTCTTTAAAAGATCAATCAAGGAACGCTCTGCTCTAAGAATCTGCATCTCGAAAGAAGGAAGAGATTTCCAATCAAAGGATTCAAGAGTTGACTAAATTCATTCGTGATTTCCAATACAAAACAGTAAATTAACTTCCAATCCCGGTGATAAAAGTCATCTCTCGAAGGAGATTGCTCGCCCTGAAGCTAAATATTCTGATCTCAAACGGCTCAAGCTATTGTGCTCTGAATCACACCTACTACAGATGGATTCAGAGCTCCCTTCCAATTGAGCAAAGAGAATTGAAGGACATCAATGAGCTTCTTGGGCTTCTGGGTCTTTCCACCGAATCAATTGCTACCAACAAGTTTGACCTGCTTCACAAGAAGTAGATCTAAACTTCTTTTCCTTTTTTATATTTTTGATATTATGATGTGTTATACTCTGAATCTCATTGAGAACTTCATTTTAAGTTTCCCAATGAGATTTCTATTCGGTCATTCTCTCATTCGGGCTTTTTTATTTGGGCTTTTTCTTTTTCCTTTTAAATATCTAAAGAGCCACCATCAATAGAAAGTAATGGTATGAAATTCTAACTTCATAGAGTGCTTCTGGAGGGGTGGGAGAAAAAAACCTATAGCACTTAAGAAATGATAGATAGAAGAAATAGGCTAAGCATATCATGCTTGACATCTTTTTTGCATCATTTTATTCCACAAAAACTTAAGCATCTAGGAAAAACAAACTTATGGCAATGGTACAATTCTATGAGAAAGCTAGGGCGATAGAAGTTTCTTAGTGCAAGAGGAAACAATTAGCTTTAATTACGATTGATACTATTTGGGGCCAAAGTTTAATGACTCACTAGGAAAGGAACATCTCAGAGGGCACACTACTAGGAAGTTAATGTAAGATGCGAAAGCAGACCATAGAACCCAGAATATGGTCGAGTCTGATGAAGAGGATTCTGAAGCTGCAATCTTGTTTTCACCAGCCAAATGGGATTTGTGCACAAACAAACCTGGTAAAAACACAAGTTACAATTATCAATCCGCAAAGCAGCATTACACTCAACCGTTGAAAGGAATACAGAACTCAACAAAGTCCATCAGAAGAGGTGGAAATATATATATATATATATATAATATCGGCAGAATGCCAGAGAACTGTTTTTCTTTCCTTGGTAGAGAAGTTAGAAGACTCACCAAAGCCCCAGCTTCTGCAGCAGAAGCAAGATGATGACCAGGGCTTAGTTTCTCTGCCCTGTTTCTAGAATACCTTTGTTTGGCTCTATCATAGCTACAAATTCAGTAAACTTTTTGGTTCATACAAATCTAAATTCAGCATTTTAAGCATTAAAAAAAATATATAAACTCAGATAAACAAAACATAAAGTAGAATGACACAAACTCACAACCACCATTTTTATGTATTGTACTTACAAGAAGAAATACAAACCCCATGAAACTGTCGACCCAAGAACTGCAGGAGAAAATCCGGCGTAAAGCCCTCTCAAGCCCTGCAACGCAGATTAATGACAACATTCAGAAAGAATTTTTAGTCAAGATCAAATTCAAAGCCCTAAGCTAAGAAAGAAAGAAAGAGAAGATGAGCCAGAACTTGCCTCGGAGCGAGCAATGGTGAAAATCGCGTTAGCGGTGTTCTTGTAAGTTGGAATATTCGAAACTCTCCCATCGTTAACTGTACACCCAAATGTAAATCAATTCAATACCCAAAAAAAAAAAAAAAAAAAAAAAAAGGAATCTGAATTCTTTTTTTCTTTTTCTGATATACCTTGAAACCTGGTACGGACGACATCGAGAGGGTGCATGGCGGCGACGGTGGCAAAGCCTGCGACGGCGCCAGCGGTGGCGTTTTCCCACTGCCACTTCTCCGATGACGCCGACATTGGCGATTAGACCAATTTTTCTTTTTTAACGTTCGAAAGTTGGTTCTTTTAAGGTTCCAACATTTTCGGAGAGAGAGAGTTGAAGAGTTGATGGGGATCAAGTAGTGGAGTCTGTTGTGAAGGGTGGGAAATCTGATTTGTTTGGAAGATGCAGAGAGGGCCGTGAGACGGCGTCGTTTTTCGAGCTTCAGCACTACCTGAACAGTGTCAAGAGGGAAAGCTTGGAGGTTGAAAAGAAGAAAGCCGTCAACTCAAAGAGAAGGATGTGCGTACGCTGTCGTTTTGATCGTTGCCTGAGGGAAAGTCCACGTGCAAACTCGTGCAATTTTTTGTGTTCGATGCAATGCCTAGAGACCGTAATTTTACATTTAATTGATGGATGCGGAATTATAATTTAAAATTATTTTAATTTATGTATATTTTTTATAAAAAAAATAATTAAAATGGATACGGGTACTGATTAAAATTTTAAGGGTAATTATGGTGAATAGACCAGTTTTTATGACTTTTATAAGTAAATAGTGTATTTATGAATTATTAAAATTAATATGCTAATTTTAATTTTAAACTTTTTAATTTTAATTTTACACTTTTTCTTTTTTTTCTCTACTTTTCTCTTCCTTCTCTTCCCTGAAACTCTCTCTACTTTCATATCTATCTCTCCTTGTGTCTTTCTATTTTCCATAGAGATTCTTGATTACCTAGAGACTGACGACGATGCTGATGTTGACTCCAATGACGACATCGTTACGAGCTTCACGATTTCGCAACAAGCTCCATTTCACAATTTTGGCATCTAGTTGAGTTCTCGTGATGTCGCCACAGAGATATCAGAGATCATGGTGATTCGCCGTCACGTCAGGTATCAACAGCGATGGAGCTCAACGACGAGAGAGTCCCTTTCTTGGTACTCCACCTGAAGAAACGATCTTAGATTACAACAAGCAGGCTTTGCAGATAATAGTCGTTATAGCGTCGACAATAGAATCGGGGATTTGGCATGGACTTTAGTGATCTTCACAGTCGATTTTGGCCTTTTTTTTGGTAAAAACCACTAACCAAACCAAAAAAAAAAAATTCTTTTGGGTGGTTTAGGCGGTTTTTTTTTTGACAAAAATCAAATTAAATCAAATCACTCATAAACAGTTTAAGCAATTTGAGCTTAAGACTAAAAAAAGGTTTCTATAATTCACAAAAATTATAAAGTGGTTAATTCATAAAATAAAATAAAAATTAAGTTTAAAATATAACTCCAAAATAGCAAATGTCTAAAAGCTCACCATTTAAAGTCTTAATACAAACCAATAAAAATGTAATAAGGTGCATTTTATAAGTGTATAACATTTATTATGACTAATAAAAACTAAAATAAATAATAAATATTTTAAGTCACAAACCAAACTGCTTAAAAAACTGACTAAACTGTTTAATAATTCAAAAATAATTACCGATTTAGTTCTATTTGATTTGGGTTGAGCGGTTTGACAGATCTTTACGCCTTAAGAACTCACGGGAGAGAGAGAATGGAAAGGGAGAATATTGATATCAAACAAAAAAAAGAGAGATATATATAAAGAAGGAGAGGAGAAAGAAAAAGAGTGAGATCAGAGGAGAGAGTGTCTCGTGCAAGAAGAGAGAGAGGAGAGAGTGTTATGCAGAGTAAAGAAGGAGGACGAGAGAGTGAATGATATGAAAAGGCTTTTCTTCTAATCAGAATGTTAATTTTTTTAATTTAAGGATATTTTTGAAAATTCAAAAGGATGTAAATCTAAATTTACACCTAAATAGCCTATTTATTAACTTTTTCTAACCATGGCCTATTAAGTTTTATTTCTTTTTCTATTTTGGTCTTTCCTCATTCTCTTAAATTTTAACGGTAGCGGGTCACAAAAAAGAAATAGATTTAAAGATTCTCGACTTTATTTCTTATTTACCCGCCCCATTTGACTATAGTTTACTTTTAAACTAAATATATTATGTGTAGTATGTTATAATATATAATTTTGAATATAATATATTACATAATATATATAAAAATTCAAAACTTCATTTTTTTTTAACTTAATGTTTTGTATGGTTATACTGATTAATTACTTATTTATTTATTTTACAATAAAATAACCAATAAGATAAATGGAGCACCACGAGTACCCCGAACCCATGATAAGGAAATCCACCTCTAACCCTGCCAATTTATTCGGGTTAATATGGTGGTCATAGTGAACGTTTTCGTTCACATGTGGGTTGACGAAAAAACTAACCCGTCCCAAATCCACCTTGTTGCCATCCCTAGCCATGCATAATCAGCCTATCAAAATAAATAAATAAGCACTTTGATGTTAGTGAATAATGTTTGACATATTTAAGCCTCGTTCACTTCGCGGATTCAAGTTTTTAATTTGAACTGAGATGTGACATTTTCTAAGAGCTTTTCACTGTAGCAGAAAAAATTAAATGTGACATTTTTTGAGAGCTTTTTACTGTAAAAACCTAAAACTAAAAACTCAAATTGGTGAAATGAACGAGTCCTTAGTTCAATAAATTTTAGATATTAACAAATACATACTTCACTAATTTATGAATGTGTTACCATGTGTAAAATCAGTGTAATTCCAGTCTCATCGTAAAACCATAATGAGAGAAAATCATATTACTCGTGATTGTCCTTAATACTATGAGTTACATCACAATAATCATTTTGTGCTAAGCACTACTTTCCAACTAGTGTATTCTTTGAACTCATAAGAGCTTTCACTGCCTTTCTCATGCCTTTAAAGCCCCCTTTTTACATATTCTATACCTTTTTCAAAGGTTGCTTAACCAAACTTATTCCAATTGGTAATTTTCTAGTCACAATTACACTAACGAAATTTCATTGAAAAGATGACCACACAATGGGAAACAACACCAATTGATTGTAGTTATCGGCTCTTAAAAGCATAGCTAGCAGAAGCCGAATTTCCTGTAACAAACTTGAATGATGATTTTGTATTTTGGAGTCTACTTAAGTAGAAAAGATGCACCCCTACCTCTAAAATTTGAGAGTGCTATACGATGAAGAAAAAAAAAAAAAAAAAAAAAAAAAAAACTTATTGGTGAGGGATGGTGTCTGACCCCTACCTAAAACTATCACAATTTATAAAATAAAATAAAAATAGTTCTAAGTTTTCAGAAACTACATAAATTGGAAGGACCCCTTTTCACAACAAATCCCAAAGCATTAAAAGGAAAACAGCGCAAAACGAAAATAGGATTTAAGCAGAATTTAAAGAAGTATGAATATGCATCCTAGAATTGTAGGTCAACATTTTGACCAGCCTTTTTTTTTTCCAGTTCCACAAGTGAAAAACAAAAATAAAAAATAAACAAAAAATAAAAAAATAAAAAAACAATTGGCAAAAGTGCAAGCTGTAGGATCTATGCAAAACCATAAAATGTTGCTTTATGGTGGAGAAATAAAGCAGTCACAGGTTAGCCCTGCAAATTTAAGTCTAATAAGTTAAGAGTAGATAGTGACTCATTCAGACTTTCCGTACAGCTAAAGTCCACTGGAAGTCATAAAAACAGTGGAGACTGGAGAATAATTCATCATCAAATAAGTTACGTACTCAAAGGACTTTTGTCCTAATGCTCCACTAAGCCCTAACCTTATCCAGGAGGCTATAGGAACAAAGCAAAATAACTCAATTTACTTAGTTTTGCTGCAAACGCTTGCATTTAACATCGACATTAAATTCAAAGGACACTTTTACGATAAGGACACTTATTTTACTCAGTAAAAACTTTTGTTTTAACCGTTAGATTAGTTTTTCAACATACTAATCTCTGAGTAGAAGCAGTTCTATGTCACGTGCTATGAATTTCTGTTAGATTAGGTTTGACTGGGGTGGAATGGTAAGCAATGAAAGCTCCTTTTGAGTTTAAAGAATACGCTAGTTGAAAAGTAATGCTCTGCATAATGTGCTACTGTGGTAGTAGTGATAGAACTTGTATGGCTTCTTAATGTTAAGGAAAGTCACAAGTGGTGTGCTTCTCTCTCATTATGGTTCTACAATGAGACTCGAATGAGACCAATTTTACACATTTTATGATAGTGTTTATGACAGTCACAAGTAGTGTGTTTTTCTCTCATTATGGTTCTAGAATAAGACTCGAATGAGACCAATTTTATGCATTTTATGATAGTGTTAGTGTCAACAAGGATCACCATTATAGCCTTCCATTCCTATCTTTGATAGCTGGAACAAACTAAGGGGGTCTTGGATGTTACATACGAAAAATGGATATGAAAACATTCTTGGGAAAAGCATACAAGGTATGAATCATGTTATTACGAACCCGCGATAAGCAAAAATCAAGTTATAATGGGTGTGGGAGAAAAAAAAAAATGCCAACAAAATTAGTAAACTATAGAAAGGTTGGATTCGAAGAATGCTTTTTTGCATTATGAAGAGACCAAAGTTTGACCGGCATTGCTTGTCAATGAACAGCAAATCCATCACCACCCACTCAATCCTACATTTGTTTCTAAGTTTAACGTACAAGCCTAAAACTTCTTGTTCTTCATCCTTCTTCCCGCCTGCAGATCCTAAACCAAAGATTAAAACAAGAACTCAGCTAATCAAATTACGTGACTTGACTAAAATAAATCTGAAACTTTATAAGAACATAACAGCATTGCAGTAACAATGAAGATCGCCAAAAATCACTTTCTTTATGGTTAAGATTTTCAAGGTGTTGGTGTTGTTGTTCCCTCCAAAACTATTTAGCATATATCATTACAAATGATGAATCCCCACAATTCAGACAAAGAATTTCCTTCATAAATCCTATATAGCTTTCTCCAGCTCCGACGAAATCGAGCACAAACAATGAGAAAACCGAAAAAGAAAACAAAAGCGCCACATAAATTTAACTTCACAAAGCACCAAGTTCCTGTACCCTTATGTTAGCCACCGAAGTAACAGGCCTGGTAGAGCTTAGAGAAGCGTATAGCACATTGCAAATACTGGCGAGCTTCAACAAAACTACAAGCTTCTAATAGATATGCAATCTCGCAGAGAATGCCGTTCACTTGATATTCCCATCTCCTGGTCCTGGTACATAATCTCTTAAAAACTATTCAACTAAAGGTTCCAAAACGTGGTTGATTGCAAAATTAAGATTTAATCACACATTTCATATTCCATGGAGATGGATAGCGGGAGAGGATTTTCTGAGCAGCACCGTGACACACAATTTGAAAATGCCGTTCGGTTTATATTGTCAGCTTAACGTAATTAATCACATTAGTCGGGTGCTTCTACTATTGAATTCTCCTATATCTATGTATATATGTTCTTGGCTTAGGCAACGGAAATTCTAATGAAGCCAAACCTATTGGCTAGAGCTACATATAAACTACAACTACAAACAACAACTCCAAGGTTAAAGCTTTCTGCGATCCCATGAATTACCCATTCAACATATGATCAAATCAACTAAAAAACCACTAAACAGAATGATTAACTAGATAATCTCACAATAAAATCGAGAATCAATACCAAGGGCAAACAAGATCAGTAAATTACCTCTCACTCGTCACTCCATTGAGACCTTGGCGCCGACAGACTTCATCTTGGCGATGATCACCTCGGCCTCCTCCTTCGTAACCCCCTTCTTCAACAGTGTCGGAGCTTTATCCACCAATTCCTTGGCCTCCTTCAATCCCAAATCCGTGAATGACCTCACCTCCTTTATCACCTTGATCTTCGCCGCCGCATCGAATCCTTCAAGCTTCACGTCGAACGCCGTCTTCTCCGCCTTCTCGTCCGCCTTCGCAGCTCCGGCACCGGCACCACCGCCGCCTCTCCCGACGACGCCCCTGAGGTCACCGATCCCCATCCCCGGCATCATCACCACCATAGTCGGCATCTCCTTCACGTCAAGCTTCTCGCGGAGGACCTCAGTCAGGTCGCCCACCTCGAGCAGCGTGAGGCCGGAGATCTCGTCCGCGATCGCCGAGGCTCTCTCCGACTGAGGCTTCTCCAGCGACGCCGTGGCGTAATTGGCGTTGATGTGGAAACCATGCGACGGCGGTAAAGGTCTAGGGTTTTGAGGGAGGGTTTTGGGAATTCGGGAAAAATGTGGGGTGATCAATCGCAAATAGCGCATTTTATTGGGGGGATTATGATTAAGTAATTAGGAATTTTACAGAGGCATCGATTGATGCTTTCATGGCTTTCTGAAGCTGTGAAATGATCTCTGGGATAAACCCTAAAATGCAATGGAGGCTTTCTGAAGCTGTGAAATGATCTCTGGGATAAACCCTAAAATGCAATGGAGGCTTTCTGTGCATTTGTTGTCGTTGGGCGAGTTAGGGGGCTTGGACATATAATCTCATTGGGCTAGCCCATTTTGTTGGGTTTAACCCCAGTAGGAGCCCAATCATTTTTGTTTTTTTCTTTCCTAGAAAATTACTGAACATTAGATAAATCTAAATTTTTATCATTTTTACTCTTAAATAATATTATTTTATCTAATATACTTATTTAACTAAAAAATATATTAAGTAAGAATATACAACAAACTATTCAAACCATTTAAACCAACAAAACAAAAAAACCCCATCAAACCAGTTAATAATCGGTTTGGTTTACTTTAGATTTTTAAAAGAACCAATTAAATTGGTTTAGTTTGTGGTTTTACCCTTAAAAAACTAAACCAATCCAAACAAAACCAAATCAATTTCTATTTATATAATTTTTTTAAAATTATATGTATTCCGTATATCTATAACTTATTTAGATTTTAAAAAACTCATTTTCTTTCGTATATTTAAAAAAGTTAAATATCATATTCAATCATGAGTCACAACTAATATTATATAAATATATCTATAATTGAATTGCTTTGATTTCATTTTTTTCTTTAAACGAAAGAGAGAAAGAGACATAAGAGCACATAAAATATTAGTACAAATTATAGTTGAGACTTAAGAAGAGGTTGTAAAATATTTATTCAAACCAATTAGAAAAACCAAACCAAACCAATTACAATCGGTGTGGTTTGGATTGGATTAGATCCTTAATTGGTTTGGTTTGGTTTGAAAATCTCTAAATAAATTTATAATTGGTGTGGTTTACATTTCACCTAAAATAAGCGGTTTGGTTGGTTTGCACACCCTTAATATTAAGCAAAAGTAAATTATAAAAATCCAGATTCATGCATTCAAAGGAGTCTTTGTCTCCTTTTCTCTTTTTTTTTTCCTGATAAAGTTTAGAGATATAGATTCGTTTGGTTTACTAACTTGAACTCATGATTCTGATTCTGCTCTCTCACAAAAAATTTAAATAAAAAAAATTTCCTCCAATAGATTCTCAAACAAAATTTGAATTCATAATCAAAACCACTAACTTGAACCCATGAGCCAAAAGGCCCATACTAGTTAAGTAGAAACATGGTTCCAAACATAACTTAACGATAATAAATTCTTTATAAAAAAAATGTTAAAACAAAATGTTGAACTGTAACGAAACAATTTAGGACATTTAATAAAAGATAAAAATTAAAATCATAATTATTATATTAAAATCATACTAATAAGGATTTTACGCATAATAGTTACTATAATAATTATTACATAATTATGTCATTTTCAAAATTTTTGAAACAAAGAAATTGCTTTATTTTCAATTATAGTCTTTGTAAGTATGCAATTTAGGGTGATTTTTCATTTTTAATGAGATTTTTATTTTTTGTTAAAAGAAATGAGATTTGCTTTTCAAGTTGTATACTTTTATTTTCCGTTTGATCTACAAAGGTGGCATCCCTTAACACCAACGGGAAAAATAACCCTAAATCATTTTTTGGCAAAAGATTATATATATATATATATATATATATATATATAACGTTATGGATACTACACGTTATTAAAAGATATTGGCTAAGATTAGATTCTTATGTTGTTTACTTAGAAATATAATAATGAATGAAAATCATATGAATTATAATGCATTAAATTTATTTAAAATAATGTCTATGAATTAACAGAAGAATTACATAAATTGCTTTATAAACACATTATTGAGGGTTTGGATGCACATGTTTTGTTCATATTCCTACGCAAGAGAAAAATTGTTCCAAAGACAACTACTTTTGTCTTTTTGGATATGCTCAGTTCGTGGACGTGAAATTTAAGAGACTCCTTAAATGTTCTTTTAAATGATTAATTAGAATATCTTTAAAAAAAGTAAACATAACTGACAGTACTGTCGAAAAACCGGATATAGTTGAACTTATATAGTTGAACTTAGTTAACATGATACAAATAATAACTACGTGTTTTTTTATTTGCTTAATAATAAGTTAGTGGTTTATGCAAGAACAATGAATTTAAACAAAAGGCCTTGGCTTTTTATGAGTCCGTTTTATTTGTTGATTCGAGTTTTTAATTTGAATTGAGATGTGATTTTATGTGATAACTTTTTACTGTGATAAAAAAATTAAATGTGACTGTTTTTAAACTTTTTACTATAACAAAATTTAAATTTTAAACTCAAATTAGTAAAATGAACGCCGTTTATATAACCTTCAAACCTTCCCATTTTTACGGATAAATTGATGTGGGATTAAACTCCGTTTTATTTTGTCAAAAAGTCAAACGAAACAATGTCCTTATTGGCTTTGAAAAAAAAAAAAAAAAAAAAAAAAAAAAAAAAAAAACCTCCAGTTCGATATGTTAGCAAAACAACATCCACCGAAGAAAAAGATAGCATCCTTAAGGAACTGGAAACGGCATAGACTTCTAATTAAACAAAATCGTCGGGAAAGGACAGTAACAATAACATCTCCGATTTGAAAACGACATGTGAAGAAAAATAACAAAGTCGTGAAAAAAAATAAACATCTATATAAAACAACATTGAGGTAACGGGTCACCTAGCCGAACATAACAATAGCCTAAGAAATGACAAGAACTTATACAACGAAATATGCTAAATACCGACACCTGGAAAATCGAGATCATAAACGATAATACCTTAAGTGAAAATGACCGATAACTTAAAAAACAGCAATCCCCTGAAAACAACATTGAAAAAAAAAAAAAAAAGATAATAAACTTATAAACGACAGTGATATGAAACCCACAAATCCAATCAAAGTAACACGTATAACGAAAACGACAATAACATGGGAAAATGTAAAAACAACAGTTTGAAAAAGACACCAATCATAAACAACTAATAGGAAGAAACGACATCTACCTAATAAAATAAAATAAAATAACAGCTTTGTTACATAAATGTCCCCTGAACTTCTAACGTTTGCCAATTTAACCCCTGAATTAGAAATTTTAGCAATTAATCCTTTGAACTTCAAAATCCGCTGTATGTAAGGTCTAATAAATAACGAAGGTAAAATTTCTTTGGATTTCTCACACGTGACCAACTATTTAGGGCGGTTCATGTCTCTTTTGCTCTAATTGGATCAATTATGAATGAACTCATTCGCTTACAGTGTTGACTATTCTCAGATTCATCATGAGAGGGAGAGAGTTTTAGTTCGTATAGGGTCCGATTTGAGCAAAAAAAAAAAACCCAGGACGCCCTCAATAAAAAGTCACGTGCAAGAAAGTCATAAAAATTTTAATCTCGTTTTTTAGTGGGCCTACCATGCAACCGATTTTAAAGTTTAAAGATTTTCAATTTAGGGACTGATTTTCAAATACGAGAAGTTCATGAACACACATGCAAATAAGCCTAAAATAAAAGAACAACAAGAGCACCCAAACACCTCCTGCACAGCTACTTTAAAAAGAAAGCCTTTTAGCAAATCCGGAAAATTGAGAGCTTCGTGAGATTTCTTGGTTGATTGGGTTCTGCTTGGTTACTGAAATCAGTTCAAAATCCACACAAAATGTCGAGACTTGTTGTGAATTTGCTTTCTTTTCTCAATGCCTCGACGATTAGCTTTTGTTTAAAGAAGTATATTTAGGATTAACTATTTTGCTTCAAGTTACAATAGAGAAAATAATATACTGCCAATTTTAAAACACAAAAAAATATATATGTATTAAAGTCAACTCATTCTTATTCACTCTTCAAATTGTTCTCCAATAGACACTCTAAAATTTCCATGATCATACATCAATAGAGCAGATAAATTATTTAGCACAACAAAGCTAAATAATGAGAGTTTCTCTTAAAAAAGAAAAAGAAAATGTAACGCAAAGAAAAAAAATACACACAATAAAGATATATATATATATATATATATTTAACACTTAAACTGCTCTTAATTAGTGGTACGACCATTTTATAATAATAGTGCTAGTAGTTGTTAATCTTTCTGCAATGCTTTCTGATCTCTCCCCTTGAACCAGTCAAAGGAGAAATGTTTCCCATCTTAATCATTGACTTGGCGAATTGCTCAAAGAAGAGCTCATTGTTCTCTGCGTATTTTTGAACCAATTGTTTTGACACTTGACTACCGGTCACAAGAACCTCATCAGAGCTCAACAAGCCCTTTGAGGCCAACAAGAGCTTGAAGTAGCTGTTGTCAAACTTTGCCGGGCTGACAAAGTCCAAGAAGAAAAGGTTCTGGTCTCCGCCCGATCTGGGGCACTGGCTTCGCAACTGCGCAGCGTATGATTGCTCAAGGGTGAAGTCGGGTTGTCCATTGCCTGTCTGGTTGTAGAGCCTCTGCCTGAAACTTGTACAACGGGAGTTTCCAATTGTGTGGCTTCCTGAAAAATCAAATGTTTTGTTGTTATAACCATGTTATCGTAAACATGCAAGTTGAGAAGCGAAAGAAAATGGTAATTTGCTATTCATATCGGTGATGCAATCACCATAGACGAGATAATAATGTAATAAAATCATAATTCTCAATATTTTGTTATGTGACAGTTCTCTTTTACTTACTGATAAAGATAGTAGTGTTTAGATCCAAATATGTAGCGACTAAATGTAAGAAAAAATAATATTTATTACCAAAAGTGATATAATCACATATATGGGTCATAGAATCATGCTTTTCACATAACAATGTGGGATCCATTTGTCTTTTTTTCTTTTCTTTTTTTTTTCTTTTGGCCATGTTAGTATGTTACAAGTCCGCTTGGCTAAGACAAGGACGTGGACTTTAATGACATACCTGAAAGTGCAACAAGATCAACTATGTCTAGACCTTGTAGCTTAAACTTGGTGAGAATGGTTTGGAAGGTGTTGTTTGGGGCTGGGATATTATTGTTGGAGCCACTTAAGCTTGATCCTCTGGAATCCCTTCTTCCTAGCGGGACTTCGTAGTAGGGCCCACCGGTCTGTTCATTGCAAAAAGTCAAGTCAGCTTCTCAATTTGAGTCTAGTACTAAACGCTAAATTTGGTCATACCATTTCAGCGGTCAATTACAAGTAAGACTTACAAGAGCAGTAGAGTCTCTAGCAACCAGAGCCAGTATATCAGCACAAGAAACAGTATGGGGGCACTCCTTCTCGAGTGAATATTTAATCTCGTCGATTATTTCGAATCCTCGAGCTGAATTCCGATTGGGGTTGGACCTCTTCTCGCTTACTAGATTCCCATTGCTGTCCAACAATAATGATGCATCACAGCCCTGCAATATACAAGCAAGTGTTTTGTTACTATCCACTAATCAAATTCTTACCACTAGCTTTTAGTCCAATCATATTTTGTTAAACCGCAATGAAAATGAGAATTGCGAGATTTAGCGGGAGAATTACCTTGACAAAACAGTCATGAAAATGTAGCCTAAGTAAAGAAGCCGCCATGCGGGTTTCCTTTGCAACATGCTTGGCTACAATGGACTTGACAATCTCCTGAGCTTGTGGGCAAGAGTGGTCATAAAACTGAGGGTACAAATAACCACCTTGGTATCTACCACACAAGCAAAGTGGGACAAAGGCAAAGAGAGGCAGAACTAAAAGGAAGCTCACAGACAATTGAGCCATAATGTTTGTTCCCTCAACTCTCTTTCTTCAAAACCAAGACCACCTAGACAAAGTTTCAAGACTTCCTATGATTGTGTGTTGTGTGTAGATCAATGGGTATTTTTATAGGAAAGATTTTGTAGACGAGGAGAGACAGAGAGACAGAGAGAGAAGGGAGCCTAAAGCTAGAGTTGTTAGCCAGTTAATTAGTTTTACACCAATATAGCAAAAGGATAACAATTTTAAAGAAATGATGGAGTTGGTAGATTTCCTTGCTCAAGGCTTACTAGTCCATTGTTGTACCTGAATGTAAGCAATGTTACTGGAAGATGTAAGTTGTTTAAGCAAACTTTAAAAACCATCCAATAAATTAACACGTTTAATATTGGTAGATTAAAATGTCAAAGTTTATTATTTTCTAACGAGTATCTTGTAGCTTAATTTATACCAAGGAGATCAAGCCGGTATTCGGTAAGGGCGGAAGGAAAGGATGATAGGAAGAGGATATAAATTGTCTTACGTTCAAAACCCGAACCAACCAGAAAAATATCACTTTTTTCGTATTCTCGTATAACATTGTTCTGTGTAACATTTCAGTTTGTTTCTGTGTAACATTTCAGTTTGTTTAAGTGTAACACTTAAAAAATGTAATCCAACACACGTAATATTGAGTGTTATACTTATCCACACGTGTTACACACATGTGAAAATAATGTTACATGAGAATAAAAAATAGTTGTATTTTTTGGGTGGTACGAGTGCCGGATTTAAAATTTTGCTTATATATATAAGCTAGGTGAGTATAATGAAGAATAAAACGAGGACCTTTTTTATTGTGTTTAGTGTGGATTTTTTTTTTAATCTTTTCTTATTCGGAGATTAATATTGCGGTTCTCAGAGAGATTAGAGATCTTTCAGCCAATTCGCTTTCTCTGGCTTGTACCAACAATGGAAGATAGGAATGAGTAATAGGAAATAAAAGTAAAAATTTCAAGTTTCCTTTAGTAAGCTGTGGCTATTAAACCTCGTGAATAGTACCAAATCTTACTGTCCAGATGTCGTTATGTTAATTTTTTTGGTGTAACTTAGCCCATAAGTTGCAAAAGCTAGGTCAAGACAATGGTCCTTATCTTTCATTATATGTTTTTAAGTGAAATCATACAAGAGAAAAGCCCCAAAGTGGAGTAGACTCAACTGCTCTGTTGACAAATCTATGTGAACCCAAATGATCGACTCAAAGTGCTTTCTTAAGATATCACAAGCCAGCTAAAAAGTATTGGGCAGGGTTGAAACCTTCATATCCTTCCAAAACCCTTTGTTTATCAAATGACCTTTTTGCCTCCAACATAAGCTAATTTGCTATTTTTGCTTTTAATAGAAAAGATTAATTGCTTGTGTTAATTTTAATCCAAGTGCCTACCGAACCCATCCTTGTAGGTTATGAGCCTAACTTTTCTTACCTTTTCTTGCGCTTACACATTTCTGCCCAGACACAGTCGTTTGAGCTCACAATCAAGTTATGGTAATAAATTCTAGGTGATTGTCAATTGTGTGTGTTGAGACATCAAGAGAACTAGGATTTTTCTTAATCACGGTAGCGAGAATATTAGGTTATTTCTGATTGGTTCACATAGCTAGGAAAAGAAATATAGATGGGGTTGGAGACCTGCTCCTTTTTAGCCTGTGTTACTTCATTTCCAAGAGACCATAAGCCAAGCATATATTGAGAGAGAGAGAGAGAGAGAGAGAGAGAGAGCATAAGCCATAATAAAACATTAAAAGCATGTTTAAGTATCTTAGGAACAATTCCTACTTTCTAGCAAACCCCACAAGAAGGCAATGCTTACATGGTCTAATTGACCCATCTTTATTTTAAATTTTAATTCAGATTGGCTTAACAAACATTATACCTGTCTAGGATATTCTGGATAAAATCATAACATAAATTTAATTTATCATCTCCATGCAACGCGTAGAAGAAATTTAAAATTTTAAGCTTGAATAATCTGATTAAGCATATCTCTACTTGTTTCTTTCCAACATGTAAAGAAGGTGCAATGAATGAATATAGAAGGCGTTTCTAAAGGAAATGTCACAACTGCTAACACAACATGTTGCATAACTGAAGGTCCTTGAACCCCTAGATTGGTATCTACTATTTTCCTGAAAAATATTTATGGGAGTACATGGTATTCAAATAGCACCGTATTTTCTCTCACTTTGTCTTCTTGTTCCTTGAGCAGAAACAGGACGTTCCCAAGAGGCTTCATTTGCAAAGGCGCTGTTTATGTCTTCTGCTCGCGTGTAGCCTTGCCCTGCTCCACTAACCTATTTTCATATCCACAAATTTAACAGTGTTAGTCTACACAAATACAGTAAACAAAACTCTAATCTTTACCTAGTGACTGATCTTTAGAGCTTAATCTTTGAGGTGGCAAAGGTTGGATATGTCAGTACTTATTCAAATAATAGAGGAGAAAAATAAACAGAAGACAATGGAGAAAAAAGTGCCATTTTGGGAGGGTATGTTATTGCCAAAATACAATTACGAACAATGCTAACTGATGCTCTCATAATGTTATCATCCCACTAATTAGCACATTCATGGGAGAATACCCAATAATCCTGGATTTTAGTTTAGCTGCCATCCGAGAAGACAAGTAATTTTATGTGAAATCAGTATCAATTAGCCAAAAGCACGCCATTTGTATGTCAGTTGTCCATGTCTTCTGACAACACTCAAGTTTTTCATATGATAATTGTGGGAACGAGTTTAGAGAAGAACAAAAACACAGCGTTTTCAAGGAATATGGAATGACGACATCGGACTAAAAAAGGACTGAAGAGAACAAGTTCGGAAACCGAAACAGAGACAAAGAAAGCCAAAGCAGAACAAGAAATTGAAGAAGAATGAGGGATTGACTGCACCAGAACAAATAAATGAACAGGATCAGACGGATATAAATGAACAGTTGAGATTAAATGAATGTAACTACTTGCCGCACCGCATCACCTATAAATATGGGTGAAATGCAAGCATTTGCACACTTTTGCTGACTTGAGAAGTAATGTGAATTTGACATTAAGGTTTTCCTTCAATCCTTGATTCCAATTAAGCAAATCAACTCGTTTGTTGTTTGATCATTTTTCAACATGAACAGTAATGCTACGTGCTTACCGTTTCTAAACAGGCAGATAGAATTGTCATCCCGGGTAATGCATCGATTCCATGCTGTAAATAATCAGATACAATTTTATATCATTGGTCATGACTGTGAACTGTAAAGCAAAGAGAAAATATAGTTCTCAAGGAGGAAAAAGATTGCCTACCTGGCGTTGCACTCGAGTCTTATAAATAAACCCTCCACAACAAAACAGCGCTGACAAGATTATGAATCTGCCCCAAGCCAGTTCATTCAAACACCAAAAAATTAGAATAAGTAAAAATAATGAAATACTGGACCAGACTTATAACGTCCATCAGGAATATTTTAGGTGAAAAAAGTCATGCTATCAGCAGAAAGTGCCAGAAGTTTACATGCGCGGTCATGAATTAGACTAACGTAAAGATATTAATCATGCAGATATGAAGTGTTTGCACACACAAACACACGCACGCACGTACGCAAGCATGCATATATATACATGTATTTGTGTCAATAATTCTTAATGGGCAATTTGTATGAACTGTCCGTACATGCAGGACAAAACTCCAAATATAGCCCATCCCCTAGTAGCATCACCATCTTGAGTTTGCGTGAATTCTGCACAATTTGAACAAACCAGTTAGCCGTGGCAACTGGAGGCTATGGCTAATTGAAGTAGAATACATAAAAAATCTTTGAATTAATTGTATAAAATTTTTCCTCTATCAACACAACAATTTGTCAAATCATTTGCACTTCATTTAAAAAAATTAAAAATAATAAATAAAAAAAAAACATTCAGGAGAACAAATGGAATATCCAGGGATGATTCCTCCAGAAGTAAAATATGCAGCAACAATCACACTTTGACTAGCCTCTAGTAAAATCATTATCATGGTAAAAAAACAGATGAATTTTTCGGGCTAAAACGCGTTGCTGTTGAACTAAGTTATGCTCTTTTCAAGTTTCAACAGCGGATTGTACGACCACTAGAAGAGTGTTAAGCTTATTCTGAAGCAACCTCTAAAGTGAATCTGAGCCTACCACACATTTTTGTAAGAGTGAACTGAATGGGCTCATAGCCCTCAACTGGGATAGTGATATTAACTTCATATGGAGTATCACGAGCCTTCTCACCTGAAAAATTTAAGACAATAAGATCTAAATGATAGAAGATATCAATAGAACTGCAAGCACTGATATCCTACATCTCCAATCTACAACCAAAGCTGTAGGAGACAAAGTTGTAGGAGGCTTTCCAGCCGCTCCAGAACCTGATAACCTAACCTCCAAGCCAATGTCTGGAAAAGTCTGAGAATGGACATTCAAAAAAAGAATACATATGAGCATATTATTCAAATTTCAAACTTTTTTAAAGATTTACCAAGCACAGATTTTCGGGAACTTAATTACCTTAACAATAGGCTTCTGCACCAAAGTGGAAAGGGAAGCAATTGCAGTCATATATAGGTAAACATGAGTTTGTTCAGTCGCGAAGCTGCAAAAATGTACAAATTATAGGACGGATAACTATATACATATGAGCAAAAAATCACTTTTTGTTGAAGTAATGGAGTGAAAAGGAGAACACCAGAAATCAACTCAAACACCGGATCTCATACCTGAATTCCTGGTGAGACCTTTCAAAGCCCAACTGAGTCATACCATCATAGACCTGCATATTCACAAAGGTGATTCTGGGTTATATATTTACTTTTGAACTATACAAACTAAATGGATATCACTAACAATAAAACATATCCTTACAATTTCCCATGTTCGTGGATGGAATCCAACAGTGAAGCCCTTAAACACCCGTGGTCCAGGTTTCTCGCATTGAATGGCGAGCTCAACAAAAACTCTGAGATGAGTAGGAATAGAACCAAAGTTAAATAATTAGAAAATCGTTTCTCTTTTCTTCCCATCTAACTTCTTTTTCAGTTTTATTTTCTTTCTAACAACAATATGATAGTTCAGAGAACCGTGAATACTTGTAAACCCATCATTCCCTTTTCACTGTACCTTCAATTCTCAAGCCGGATAGAAACCTGAAAAATTAAACTTTCTAGACTTCATCCTATGTTTAAGGAGCACTATAGAAGGAGCTTTGTGTAAGCTATAATATTGTTTAAAACCCACTATGCAGAGAATTCTCCTGACGTTCAACATAAAGAGAATTTTCGAACAAAAATGAAAATCAGGGCATTCTGGAATGACCTGCAAGTAGACTCGTAAGTGACATTGCAGATGCATCCAACTCCAACTGAAAAAAAAAATAACAAAAAAATAACAAACTAGTCTCAAAATATGGATATAGAGGCAAGACGAGATATGGAGAAAAAGTATGAAACACAAGGAACTAGTAGCCAAAGGAAGCACTCACAGACCTTTACATTGTCCATTCGGACACGTTCCACATATTATATTTACCTGAAATAATAGCAAAATAAAGTGAAGGAATATGAGCACACAGGCTAATAGGAAACCAGTATCTTATAAATAGTAGTGAACTTTCTAGAACAGCAGTATCCAGCTATCCCCTCTTCTTTTGTGCGTGTGTGGGGGAGGTGGGGGGAAAGCAACGAACCTGAGCTGTTCGTCCCAGTTTATCATAGCTATGCTCACACTTAACCAGGTCACCATTGTAAAAACCCTAAAAATTAGGGAAACTGAGGCAATTAAGACTATAAGGTTTGGATATTGCCCACAAGAAATCACTAGAATAGAACTGTTCAGGAACAAAAAGAGCTTACTTGAACAAAGTCAACTTGTCCGGAACCAGCAACGAAGTGGTTAAACCTATCAAAGCGACCAAAATCCACATATCCCTGCATAATTATGATAAAGGAGCTTACATACATAGAAATGAGCGAAACACATGCAAACTAACACTTATTTTTTCTGGTAGGACCAATCTACGTTTGTTATCATGGTTTTATATTAGACCTTCGATACACCAGTAGCCTTATTTATGTTTGGTCTCCAATTGCAACAAGTTCTATTTAAAAAAGAAAAAACTAAAAATAAAAGACATGAGAAAAAGGTGACAAAGTCTACCGTTTGTGATCTACTCTCCACATCTTTACAAAATCTAACAACCAAGTCGGAGCCCTGTATAGTATCAAGAAAAACTTATCATGCAACGGAATCTCAATAAGAACATTTGCCACATCAAATCTCACATTGAACTCCATGATCTTTAATTCTGTGAGGAAATCACCTCAAAATCATACTCGAGTGGTTGTCCAACCCAACTTGTCTGGATCACAGTTAAGAAAAAATAAACTCTCACTTAAGCTAAACTAAAAAGAGAGAATTTCGTTGAATCCTACTTAACAAGAAAATAAAATTAGTAATTTGCATGACTCCAAAAACAAAAAAATTATGCAAGGATACAAAATCCACAATGCGACTTGAGTTATCGAGAACGTAGCAATTTGAACTCGGTACCACAACCGAGGCGGCTTTGAGCGCCTGTGATATTATAGCTGAAGTTCAGAATTACAAACAAAAGTGTTTGTCATCCATATTTCAAAAAAAAAAAAAAAAAGCTCGCATAGAATCAAGTATGCTTACCTATAATGATTACAATCCAGAAATGCAAAGAAGTCAAGTCGAAACGGTATCTAAATCTCTGCATTTTGCTTCGCAAACATCAAATCACATAGATTCGTCAGTATAATCTACTATTTTCGCTAAAGGAGAACTAAAAGAACATGAGATTGGTCCTCTGATTAAACAAAAACACCAATTCCTCATATAATTTACAGATAAAGAATAGGTAGATTCCAAATTTCCAATTGATTAGGCTCGCATGAACTGGATTTCGTCACAAGGATCCATAAATTTTTCACAGGAAAGTGACTTTTTGGTCAGATGCGATACTCGGAAAAGCCATTTCTGGTCAAGCAAGTAAAGAAAAGAAAAACAGTGATCGAAAAGAGAGAAGAAAATACCTGAAAACTCGAATATGGGGTTACAGATTCAGAGACGAGGAAGGAAAAATAATTTGCCTCGATATATTTGCCCGAGGACGAAGCTCCTCCAGGTCCTCCACTACTCCTGAACTATGCGGAAAAGATGTCGTTTGTCGTTTCCAAGTAAATCAGGGATACTCTTTTGTGTGTGTAGATTGCTGTCGTTTATTTGACAATGAAACTAACACCCGTCTCATTGTGATTGCCTTACAAAAATCTCACGACGATCAAATATTTTTTTTGTTGCTGTTATGAATTAAGGGGCAACATCGCAACCCAATTCAATATCAATTCATCTTCTTAACCCAATCCAAATCGGCAGATCGGTTTTGATTGATTAAATTGATTACATTCTTGTAGTAAAAAACAAAACAAAAAAGAGAAAAATTAACATGTAGTTTCCCTCTAAAGTTGGTGTGGCAAAGACATGACTTGTGTATGTAAATTTGAGATTACAATCTCAAATTCTCTTCCAATTATAGTCATTGTAAAATTGTATCCACAGATCTTCAAAAAGCAATTTTCATCCTACTCGATCTATGAAATAAAACGGAAAAAAAAAAAACCTTATTAGGATCTTTAACATATATAACGTGTGCCAGGATTGTCAAACAATTTAGGCCGTGTTTGGTTTGTCGTTAATATTGTGATGATTTTAGTTTGAATCGTAATAAATAATTACTCTATTAGCATCTCTTTTTATAGGCACATAAAAGTGAAAAAGAAATATTATTAAGGATCTTTTTCGGTAGGCCTACCGATGAACTAGTTTCTGATTTTAGATTTGTTCAAATCATATCACATTGATAAAATTCACAGAACTGAAAGTTTCTTATACATATCTGATGAAAAATAAAAAATTACTTAAAGTTCATTTTTATTCAGTCTTACCTGAAAAACTCTCACGTTATTATTTCAAGTAAATTGCACTATTACCCTCTAGACATTTGGTCATTTTACATAATAATCTCAACTTTCAATTTTAACTTATGGCACAAAAAACTTTAAAATTTAACAATTGTGTTCCAATAGCTAACAAATGTTATTAAATTGACGATTTGACATATAAAATTCATACAAAATTTTTTATTTTTTTCTCAACAGTTAGAATTTGTGAATTATATCAACTTTTAAAGTCAACTTATCTTTATACATAGAGACCGTTTAGTAGAGCTTTTGCTTTTGTTTTTATCCAGTAGAAGAAGAGAAGCAAAAAGTGTGACTTTTCAGTAAGTGTTTGACAAAGAACTTAATGGGTCAAAATGATTTTTAAATTTTATAATAAGCAATAAAAGTGTTGGAGTTAAGTTTATAATGTCTTAATTAAACTTTAGTATAAGTTTCAAAATCTATTCAAAATTACTTTTATTATAAGTTATAATTTTTTGCTTTAACTGGAAGTTCTTCTGAGAGCTAAAACACTTATAACAGATGATTCAAACACTTCTAGAAATAACTTTTAAACCTAGGAAGCCAAAATCAGTTTTAATAAATTATCAAAAAATATCAATAGAATGAGTTTTTTTGTTATTAATTTATAGATCAGAGAAACAAATATTTTTTTTTTTGAAGATTGAGAGCACATTGTAACAATGGTTATAATTGAAAGGGAATTTTAGTAATTAATCCTTCACTTTGAGGAAGGTTTCATCGTGCAAAACTTTTCGTGGTTCGTGTTCGAAGACAACATGTCGTTTGCATTGAGAAATTTTCTCCTTTCTTTTTTTAAATACAATATGGAGTCTATTCTCACTTTACTAACAAATAAATGAAACCATTGAGGTTCAAATTCTGATAACACTATATATTTACACACTATATTTTTAAGAAGTCACCGATCGTAGTATTACTTGCATCAGTTTGTTGTATAAAAAATTTTGTGTCACTCGTTATGGAAATACTTCCTTTTTCTTTTTTCTTAATCCTACTCCAAAGCATAGTATTCATCGAACCTGTTAATTTGTCTGGTCCGCATAATTCAATACAATCTGACATATTAAATTGAATTGAAAGAATTTTGAATTAATAAATGATCTGAATTGAAAGAATTTTATATTAATAAATGATTTGGATTGAAAGAATTTTATATTAATAAATGATTGAGATTTTCTAAATCTGAAGTTATAGATTAGATTTAAGATTTAATATTTTTAAATATAAATAATCTATCAATTCAAACTATATTATATAATATATATATATATTTAAATCACATATTTAACAGATTTTTTTTTCCGTGATACATATATATTTAAGTATATATGTATGGAAAAGTCCTAGTCTTATACGACAACTTTTATAGAACTATTTTAATTTTATGACATGTTATGTTATGTTTGTGTTTAATTTAGTTATTAATTTTATGAGAATATTTAAAATAGAAGGGCTATAAGTGTTAAGGTTCAAAGCGTAGATTAATCTGCAAATCGGTATAATTTAATTTGGAAAATTCGTTGTTTTATTGAATTAGATTGGATTCAAGGTCTTACAGATTTAATAAAGGATTAGATTCCAATCTACAGTCACAAATTACAAGTTAAAAGTTTTAGTGAAATTTTTTTTAAAAAAGGACTATATCTAATACGTTAAATTTTTTTCGTTAAATTTCTATAAAATCACGTAAAAATTAAAAAATACATAAATTTAATAATTAAAAAACTTCACATATTAATACGTGAGGTATCAGAAAATCTCTCGAAAAGAAGAAGAAAGTAGTGCTGGAACTTTGGACGGGCCGCCCATGACTGCTAAAAAATACCGAGGTTTTGTCCGAGCCTGAGCCCGACCCGCCGAAAAATTCGGGCCGGCCGCCTGAGCCCGAAAATGCCCTTGAACAGGCCGCGGGCTTATATTTGGTTGCCCGAACCCGGCCGGGCCGCCCGAGCCTGCCCGAATAGCCTGAATTTTTTTTAAATATTTTTTAATTTTTATAATTATTAAGTTAGTTTGTGTTAAAATTATGTAAAAATCAAAATCAACATTCAATAGACATTATTAACACAATTGAATAAATTAATCATGTATATTATTGATGTATATTAAAATTCGTAATTCATGATTGTCTCGTTAAAAACCTTATTAAGAAAACCCAACTGGAATAAAAACTTGGCAAGGAAAAAAGAGTGCAATCATTTTGTGACGAATTACAAATTTTACAAACTTACAAAGTTATACAAATACAAATACAATGTCAAAAGTAAATACATATTTACAAATTACAAATTTACAATTTAATTTAAAGTTGAAGGATCGTCTTCAAAATTAAATGTTAATTGATTAAATTCATCAATCCATTCTTGGCTTGTCGGTGAAATTGTATCCTGTAGACGTTGATCGGCCCGATCTCAATCCTTAATGCAAACCAAGGCTTCAACAATATCCCTTTACAATGCATTCCGGCGTTCCTTAAGTATTATTCCTGTCGTACTGAAGGCTTATTCGGATGAAATAGTGGAGACTGGGATCGAAAATATATCCATTGCCAATCGAGTTATGATTGGCCAAGTTAATGGCTGTGTCCTCCACCATTGAACTAAGTCAAACGATTATGCCGTACCGTGGACTACTAAGCCTTCACTGAGGTACACCATAAGCTCGTTGAAGCTGCCGCCGCCACTGCCACTGCCACTTGTTAACAAAGATTCACTCACAGCTTCTGTTTGAGTTGTCTTCTTCTTCTTCTTCAACCCGAAAATATTTAAGAATGAATGCGGGTTTTCGTCTTGTTGTTGCGGTTCCTGTACTCTATGAGGTACTCTAAACCTAATCTCATATTTACTATAGATCGAATATATTTTTTCCTTTATTATTGGATATTGGTCCTTACAATTGATGCCTAAAAATTCACCTAAGTTTTATAAACCACTTTCTAAACCTTCTAATTTTAATCTAGGATAAAAAAAAGTACCTAAACCATACAACAAAGGCAACTTAGACAAATATTTTATAAATTTCTTTTCCATAGAATGGATAGGAACTGCTAAGATTGGGTCCTCCCTATATTTGCTAAATAAAATACTAATTTGTAAAAGTTCTCCTAAAGCTAAAGGTAATGTTGGGTAATATGTTCCTCTAAGTTTTAGAGTCACTTCATGAAACTTACCTAAAAATTGATATAAAACTTCGACAATTTGCCAATCATATGCGTCTATATGTCCTACTCCTACTTTTACACACATATAGTTTGTTATAGCATTCTTATAGGGGATGCATTTATTGAAGCATTATGTAAGTTGAGTTCCATCTTATAGACATATCTAACGCTAATGCTCTAGGAGGTATATTTAATGCTTGTAAGAACCTAAACCAATCTTCTTGTCTTTGGTTACTATCTTGAATCCATGCAAGACTATCTCTAATTCTTTTAATGTGATTATCCATTTCTTTTAAACCGGATTTAGCAATTAAATTAATTATGTGACATGCACAACATTGGTAGAAAATAGTACCGTCACCGAATAAACTTAAATCATTTTCAAAGAACTCAATTGCTTTTGTATTTGCCGTTAACACAACGCACCCGCTAGTCGAGTGTAAAAGGTTTATTAATGCTTCTTTTTCTTTTTTAAATAATTTTAATAAATATTTTCTAAGAGTAATTTTTGAAGTAAACTGTGCATTATGATTATATACAACCTTAATATATCATTGTCAATTATGATGCTCTACAAAACTAAGTGGTTGATCTAAAGCAGCTATCATCCGTGCAACTTCCATACGATCTACTTGCGGATTGTATTTCCAAGTGGTTAGACCACTGGTTGCGCGATCAAAAGATAATTGTGTTTGGCGGAGTTCGGGTCCGCCGGATTGGCTAAGCTTTTGAAGACACTTTTCGGAGTGTCTTCTCAAGTGTGTGGTGCCGTGAATAGTGTCACCTTGTAATTTAGATAAACAATATTTACACTAAGCTATATGTTTAGTGTTACCTTCATTGTCGATCTCCTCAATTATGTTGAAGTGATCCCAAACTATCGAGGTGCTTGCATTTCCTCCTAGAGGTTGCAACACTTGCAGACGCAGTCGCACTAGCACTCGCCGTTTCTCCACGCCCACCACCATTACGACCACAACCTCCAGTACGTCCACCAGGGCTCGGATTAGTAGATTCTTGCGTAACAAATTTATTAGTGGAAAATTACCCTTCTTCCACGTTGTGTTGGGCATAAACAAGAATACCGCTATAACCAAAAGGATCCATTATAAAAAAAATAATAGCGATTTGAGAAAGAGAGAGCTTTAGGATAATGTGATAGTTTTTAGAAAAATTGTAATAGAGATTTGAGAGATTGAGAGAAATTGAGAGAGATTGAGAGAAATTGAGAGGGATTGAGAGAGTTTGAGTGAGAAAAATGTGTGGGGCATGGAGGTATTTATAGGGAAATTTTTAGGTTAAAAAATTGATTTTTTCTCAAAAAATTCGAGGTGCAACGGCTAGTTTAGGGTTCAGCGAGTTCATGCAAAAAACTAGCCGTTGGACGGGTTTTCGGGCATCTCGGGTATTCGGGCAAAATTCGGGTTTTCAGGCAAAATTCAAGTCGGGCAGCAACGATCGAATTTTTGACCGTTTTTCATGATTTTCGGGCAGTCAGGCGGGTCGGGCATTCAGGCAAATCAGGCTTGACCAGAAAAATTCAAAAAAAACTCTGACAGACGACGGTTGACCACTCCTACACAGCGATGGGCTCCGGTGAGATGCCCAAATTGACTGTCTGAGCCCTAGTCTAAATTTTCACTTTAATTGGGTTGACAGATAGGCCTGCCCACCAAACCTAAAAAATTTAGACAGCGGACCTGCCCACCGGCAAAAGTTGCACCGCTAGAAGAAAGTAAAGATGTTTCTCGAAAAGTTAAATACCTCAAAGAAAAAAAAACAATATTCCAAAGGTCAAAAAGAAAAAGTAAATAATTGATGAATCATAAAATCCCAACCTTTCAAAATCTCGAGCCAGTTTTGGCAAAGTTTCAAGATCAATTCATTTGTTCTCAACTAATTTTTCCCCTTTTGAAAATTGTTCTTAGCCAATTTTAAATAACTTATTAAAATCATTAAAAAAAGATCCAAATCTAGTTATTAATCATAATCACCACCCCTAAAAATTCCTAATTCCAACGAAAACCAAGACCTTCCCCAGAAGAACTTTCGCAGGTGTCATTTATACTTCCACTGTCTCTAACCCCATAGAAGAAGATCCAAAAATGTCTGAAATTCTCCAATCTCAGTCGCAGATCGAAACCCTAGAATGCCGATGAAGCTCGTTCTAGCGACAATCCTTCCTCGGAGATGGCGAAGCAGCACTCCTCCTCCTCCTCCGTCGGGTGGGTCGCGTCGCAGAAGAGGTGGCTCCTCGCGTTCCTCGTCATGCTTTCTGCCTCCACCTTGATCGCCTTCTTCATCAGAGCCGCCTTCGACACTTGCGATCGGAGCCTCGACGTCGTCGACAAGAGGCCGCCGACCAGAGTCCCCTCCGCCGTCGGCTCCATAGTCGGAGCCGCTCCAAACCCGCTCGGCTTCATGAAATCCAAGCCGGTCCTGTTGGTCTCGCACGAGCTCTCTCTTTCCGGTACTGCCGCGATCTCAGTTTACCGGATCATTGGCTTTTGCATTTGCGATTTTGTTCAGTTTTAGTTTGATAAATTGTTGGCGCGAAAAGTTGATGCTTTTCGTACTGTTTTTAGTCTTGTTTGCTTATAATTCTTTCTAGAATCTTCTGAAAGCGATTCGAATGATTGGGAATAGCATCGAAGTGTTGTTAATTTTTAGTCTAATAATTATTGCACGAATTTTTTTAATGAATTTCGTACTACGTTCTCTCTCTCAAAAGCTTCTGTTGGTTTGTCTAGGAGGACCGTTGTTGTTAATGGAGCTTGCATTTCTGTTGAGAAGTGTTGGTGCGAAAGTTTCTTGGATTACAATCCAAAAGCCAGTGGATACAGACGAGGTTATATACAGTTTGGAGCACAAGATGTTGACGCGAGGAGTTCAGGTAGCAAACTTTCAACATTTCTTAATTCTTATCGTTGTTCATATCCGATCTAGAGTTTCAAACATGCTTAATCTTGTTTTCTACTTGTCTTCTTTTTATTTTTTTATTTTTATTTTCTTTTTACATTCTTTTTTTATGTTCTTATTCTTAGTCATCATGTAACATAGTATTATGTTAAGTGTTGTACTCTCTTAGGTTCATGTTCGATATCTTATATTGCATTGTTGGATTTACAATTCTGTGAGAGAACCGTATGATAGTTGAAGTTTATAAGATGTTGCCCTTTTTCTGTAATATGCTCTTTTGTATGGTAGGTATTATCTGCAAGAGGTCAAGAAGCTGTGGATGCTGCTCTGAAGGCTGACTTGGTTGTTTTAAACACTGCGGTTTCTGGGAAATGGCTGGATGTAATTCTTAAGGATCATGTTCCTCGTGTTCTCCCAAAAGTTCTGTGGTGGATCCATGAAATGCGAGGGCATTATTTTAAGTTGGATTATGTCAAGCATTTGCCTTTTGTTGCTGGTGCTATGATTGATTCACATGTAACAGCTGAATATTGGAAGAATAGGACTCGAGGACGTTTAAGGTTGGCTAAATTTTGGATGTGAATTGTATTTGCTTTAGATTGTGTAAAATGTAAATGCATCTTTGTTTATCCGGAATATAATTATTCTTGTGTGGATACCTTAAACCATGATCTACTCTTTTATTAGTCTGCTAGGGAGGGCTTTGTAAAAATAACTCAATAAAAAAGTTTTATTAGTAAAATAACTTTTTAAAAATTTTTATTTGTAAAATGACCACTTTTTACAAAGAATGATTAGGTGGTCCTTCCTCATAAAAAATGGAAGAAGGTCATTTTGCTAATTTCACTTTGTTGGATAGTCATTCTAGCATATTCCTCGATCTCAGGTGCATGTTTTTTCCTTGAATTTTATTCCACGTAGTTTTTCCCATTTCAGTTAATCTTTTGTTACCTCCTCTGGAATAAAATTTTGATCAATTTCTTTCCCCAGGATCAAAATGCCTCAGACCTATGTTGTTCACCTAGGAAACAGCAAGGAACTAATGGAAGTTGCTGAAGATAGTGTAGCGAAACGAGTTTTGCGAGAGCACGTCCGGGAATCTCTTGGAGTACGAAGTGAAGATATACTCTTTGCCATCATAAATAGTACGTATTCCAAACTGATGACATAATTTCTTTTCATTTTGCATTTTTCCATAGCAACTGCTTTTACTACATTGATGATTAATAGAGACACTTGTCAGGTTGCTTTAAATAAAAAAATCTTGTAGGGTATTCATTGACCGTATGGCTAAGTGTGGGTACTCTGCCAGTAAAGGTTATATGGTTGAAATGCTTCACCTTAGTCACCTGTACTTTCTTTCCTTTTTCAGTTTTTTATTTGAGATTAATGTCTGTCAAAGACAAATACAAACACCCCTGATCTCTTTCTACTGGTCAGAAAAGATTATTAGAACTGGAACATTGAAATTAAAGTTATCTGTTTAGCATATATCTTGTATGCCTTAAAGTGCACTTTGTGATTACAGGTGTTTCTCGTGGAAAAGGCCAGGATCTATTTCTGCGTTCCTTCTACGAGAGTTTGCAAATAATTCAAGAGAAGAAACTGCAAGTGCCAACATTGCATGCTGTTATTGTGGGAAGTGACATGACTGCTCAGACCAAGTTTGAAATGGAACTTCGCAACTATGTGATGCAGAAGAAAATTCAAGACCGTGTTCATTTTGTGAACAAAACTTTGACAGTTGCTCCTTATTTAGCGGCAATTGATGTTCTTGTTCAGAATTCCCAGGTAGGCTTGCTTTGCTCATGGCATTCTTTTTAATCCTTACAATGATTATCTTCATCTCCTCTTAAATCATTCAACATCCCTTCCATCTAGGCCCGTGGTGAATGCTTTGGGAGGATAACTATTGAAGCTATGGCATTTCAGCTGCCTGTACTGGTAATGAATTCCTCGTTTATAGTTCCTTTGATATTATTTGTTTCTGTTGATTTTGGTTGACAATTTCATTTTACCTTTCTTTTTGAAATGGATACAATCATCAGGGAACAGCAGCAGGAGGTACCACAGAGATTGTAGTCAATGGAACAACAGGCTTTTTGCATCCTGCCGGGAAAGAAGGGGTTACTGCTCTTGCGAAAAACATCGTCAAGCTTGCAACTCATGTTGAGAGGAGACTTACAATGGGGAAGAGAGGCTACGAAAGGGTGAAAGAGAGGTTCTTAGAACACCACATGGCAGATAGAATAGCCACCGTCCTGAAGGAAGTCCTGCGCAGGTCAAAGAGCCACTCAGTCTCTTAATGAAGCTGTCTATTCATGGCTAATGTGATAAGTTTCAACCTTAGATGCACCGATAACTTGATGGAGAAGGCGACTTTTCCATTATGGCGGCAGATTTCCTCCCAAGTTGGCTACTTCTCTGTACTGAAAGGGTTGTACATCATGTACATACTAAATAGAAAATGATAGTAGCCTGTTGATAGAGTTGATGTAACCATACAAATTACTCAAAATTTTTGCTGGCATAGCGTGGGCTAATTGGACATCGTAGTGCTCGCTTGCTCGGTCTTTTCAGTATTTAGAAATCTAGAATTACAAGTAATCTCTACCCTACACTGACGATCCTTAACATGTTTATGTATTTTGTTGTGAATTTTGGCATTATAGGCTTGTTTTCCTAAATGTTATTGGCTGATTTCATTTTTCCTTTTCCTTTTTTTTTTTTTTTTTTGTTGGATTTGGCCGGATTTTTATCATTCACCTTTGATTAATATCTTTTTTCGTGAAGTAACTATATTAGTTAAAATGATATTAATAGAAAATAAATAGTAAAAATTCAGACATATGCATTCTTAGGGTAGATGTAGCAATTTTATCAAGAAAACATGAATAACAGCTGGCCAATTGATCAACTACTCAAAAAGCCATGAAAATACATGTTCCCCAAAGAGAGGATTACACAGCCTGCAAGTCTAATCTAATAGTTGTAACACACTTTTGCTACCTAAAACACACACTTTTACTGGTCTCACAACGCAGATAGTGAGCTCACGGATTTGAAGGGGACTGTGGCCGTGGAGGAGCTTTCACTGGTTTAGCCTGCTTCATGTTGGGTTTAGTGAACCAAGTTGTATAAAGGAACTGCTTGTGAGGTCCAACATGGTTACATATGAGCCGAAGCTTCTGTCTCTCCCTCATCCATCTCAACACTATCTTCATGTGCCTCTTGCTCGTCAATCCTCTCAACCCAACTTCCTGCACAATGGACAGCATTAGTTCAAGCACGTTACATATCAGGGATAATAAGAGTTCTCTCTTTTAGGAAAAATGTTGGATTTGCTATTGCATCTCTTAAAACCACAAAAATATGTCCCGAGTTGGACCACTTTTAGAGTATCTGTGCTGTGTACTCTGCTTCCTAACCCTCACTGATTTTAGACTTACGCCCAAACTTTTACAATTGAATAATTATAAAATCAAATAAATATTACATAAACTAATAACTACATGGGTAAATGTCTTTTCTTCTTCTTCAAAGCATGCCTAGTACTTAAATTATGATTATTTTTGTGCTTTCACGAGCAATTTGGCCATTTTGCTGAACTCAACAAATACTTTTTACGATTTCTGACAATACACTTGCAACGTCAGTAGTATCTCACATAGACAATTAGACTGATTAGATAACATGAGAGCAAGAGATGGTAGGATTAAACAATCACACAACAAAGTAGTAGAAAAGAAAAGGGGGGGAAAAAAACCCGAATGGATTCTATATACAAAACCGACTACCCACAACCATATTTCTCATTGAGACGTCGAAAATGAAATCTGAAAGTATAAAAAATCTTTCTTTCAAGCGTTTTCTGTTTATTGCAATAACAAAATTGATTGAAAGCCGAGGGAAAAAAAAAAAGAGTAAACCTTGACGTGATCCCAAGTTTCAGCAATGGTGAGAGGTCCGTGCTCCTTAACGATGTCGAAGATGACTCTGGTGATGGTTTGGGTCTGCTCAGGTGGGGTTTTCAGCTCCATCGGTTTCATCTCCGGCTTCCCTTTCTTCGCCATATACCTTATTGCTGTGGCAAACATGATTTCCCAACAAAAATCGAGAATTTGGCTAAAATAACCGAGTAAAAAAGTAAAATTAAGAAAATGATTTTTTAATTTTATTTGTATTTATTTTATTTCAATAAATTCTTAATAATATAATTAATAGGTATTTATCTATTATTAATTGAGTATTATTTATTATTAACAAAAATCGAAATTAGAATTTAATTGAAAAAACCCAACAGATGTGGCCTTCTCCCTCCCTTCTTCCCTCACGAACTCAAGCGCTCAAAAAAAAAAAAAAAAAAAAATCTAAGAGGAACGAACGACCAAGAAGGCAAGAGAACGACCCAAAATCCTCATCCCCCTCTCTCTCCCCCTTCGGAACCTCCGAGATCTCCTCTTCCCCTATGCCTGAGTTCATGGCCGCTGAAGAAGAGAACACGACCATGCTAGAGGAAGGAGCTTTTTGCACGTACTCACCCCCGCATTTGTCGTCGCCTTCGTCGGCCCCTTCGTTGCAGCCATCGCCGTCTTCCCCACAGCGGCCGCCTCCCCCTTCGACTTTGCCGCCGCCCCCGCCGCCATCACCTCAAGGCCAAGAACAAGTAAGGGTTTCTCTCATAGTGATTTTTTGCGATTGAACATGAATACATTGAGGGCATATCTATGATGGCTTCTGCTCTAATAAATTATATGCATTTTAAGATCTTCTATAATGTTTTTGATTGCCACATTAAACCTTCTCAGATATTTTTTTGAACTTGCTATTGAATTTATGAAGGCATATACTACATTACCAAGAAAATTAACATGCTAAAAACATATGATTTTGATGGACATTTTGTCGTTTTTCTCTTTCTTTTGTTGTTCATGATTACATGTGTGTGTGTGTATTATTCAGAGAGTGCATTCTGCGAATTAGTGAAGTTTAGACAATAAAGAATCCCAGGTGAAGCTCATTCAAGTTCAACTTTATTATTAGGAAACTTAGTCACAACTCATCATCACACTAGGCATACGAGTTCAATACTTTTGTTTAAGATTAAGATGAATTTATCATCACTTCAATCCATCGCATATAAGAACATTACAAGATTGACAAGCTGTAGCAATTAAGCATGAAAACTGAAAGACCATTTCCTACAGCTTCTGTTGCTGGAACTCCAACACCAAATCTACAATGCCAACAGCAGAAATCGGTTAGATCTAAAACATTAAAATGATTTTTTCTCACTCCGCCATCAGACAAGATCATGCTCCATTTCATAATTTAGTTCCCGGTATCTATGCCTGTTAAATTTTTTACTAATTTTGGAAGGCTGCATTCTAAGCTTTTGAATCTGGTGTTATGAGACGGTTGATCTAGGTAGAAGTTATGAGGAAAGTTTTGATAATAAAAGATTGAAAAGAAACTATGTCCCATTTAGTCAATTCCAACTTCTTAAGATCACAGGTTAGTTGAAAACAATTTGGAGAGGAAGTATTGTGTTGCGTAACTATCATGTTCAGCAACTATTGGAATGCACGCTATTGGGTATATAAAATACCAAGTAAATTTTCACTTTTCTGAGCAACTTTTAACTTCTGAAGGTTTTTTAGTTTATTGGTTTTGTATAAAACTTATATCTCTTACAGAAAAGTAGTTTTTGATTACTCAAAAATACTCTCTTTGCAAGAGCTATTAATCAAGTTAATTAAACTATTAATGATTCAACACATGCAGTGCCATCTTACACACAGTATGCATCACTCCTTTTAAGATTATCTGGCTTATGATTCAGATTTATTAATGCAAACAGTTCCTTAGCATTTACTCCATCAAGATTCAATAGTAACTTTATTATATTTTGGTGCTATCTTTTTCTTCCTCCTTTTGTAAGAACCAAGGGAATGGATTTTTAAATTGGAACATGGAATTTTAAACAAGTATCTAAACTCTAGTACTTGTTGTCCATAGGGGAGGAAAGCACAATTCATTTATAATATTTATACAACGTTATGGATATTGTCTGAGCGACCATGAACGACCCCGAACGACCAATTAATATCAGATGGTCGTTCAAGGTTGTTCCTTTCCCACTAGGCGCACGACCCACATTAAGCTCTGTCGCTCGCTAAACACAATGGTCATTCTATCTGAATGACGAATAACTACCACAAATCACTTTAGTTCAAGGTTGTCTGACGTCTGAGCGACCCCGAAAGACCAATCAATATCAGATGATCGTTCAAGGTTGTTTCTTTTCCACTAGGCGCGCGACCCACATTAAGCTCTGTTGCGCGCTAAACACAATGGTTGATCTATCTGAATGACAAATAACTACCACAAATCACTTCAGTTCAAGGTTGTCTGAGCGACCCCGAACAACCCCAAACGATATCAGATGGTCGTCAAGGTTGTTCCTTTCCCACTAGGCGCGCGACCCACATTAAGCTCTGTCGCGCACTAAACACAATGGTCGTTCTATCTGAATGACGGTCGTGCGACATTAAACAACGAAGTAACTGAAGTTCATTGATTTGATTGATATTTAAAATCTTCCACCAATTGTTTGTTTCTATTAATACATATACCGAGAACAATTCACACGTCAGAGCTGCCTGAACTACCTCCACGTATAGTGACCATTTTAAAGGCATCATGAATTTTAGAACGACCGAGAAAGACACCGAGCGACCACCAAAAGAGTAAGAACGACCATCAGGTCGTTCAAGCTTTTTTTCTTCAGCAACCCCACCAAAACAGGAACGACGCCTAGGTCGCTTGGGTTTGCCTCTTGGTCACTCTAAGGCTCTCCAACACTTTTTTTTTTCAAATAGCAAGCAATCTGGAACAATCGAGAAAGACACCGAGCGACCACCAAAAGAGCAAGAACGACCATCAGGTCGTTCAGGCATTTTTTCACCAGCTACTCCACCTAAACAAGATCGACGCCGAGGTCGCTCGGGTTTGCCTCTTGGTCGCTCTAAGGCTCTCCAACACTTTTTTTTTTTTTTTTTTTTTTTTTTTTCCAAATAGCATCAATTCTGGAACGACCAAGAAAGACACCGAGCGACCACCAAAAGACCAAGAATGACCATCAGGTCGTTAGGCATTTTTTCGCCAGCGACCCCACCTAAATAAGAATGATGCCTAGGTCGCTCGGGTTTGCCTCTTGGTCACTCTAAGGCTCTCCTAACACTTTTTTTTTGGTTTTTTTGTTTCAAATAGAAATTGACTTATCATTGGTTATGAGACTCTTATATTGTCAAAATTAATTAAATTATCATTTATTAATTTTGATTTAAATGATTTAGGTAATACTTTAAATTTTCCAAAGCATAGGTAATGGATTACGCGACCAAAGTACTCATAAATATTACGAGTTTGAATTGTTTGGATTAATTAGTTGAAATTAAATGATGAAACTCTAAATTAAATTAAATTATCATTTTAAAGGCATGATGAATTCTGGAACGAGCGAGAAAGACACTGAGTGACCACCAAAAGAGCAAGAACGACCATCACGTCGTTTAGGCATTTTTTCGCCACCAAAACAGGAACGACACCTAGATCGCTCGGGTTTGCCTCTTGGTTGCTCTAAGGCTCTCCAACACTTTTTTTTTTTCAAATAGCAAGCATTCTGGAACGACCGAGAAAGACACCGAGTGACCACCAAAAGACCAAGAACGACCATCGTTCAGGCATTTTTCGCCAGCGATCCCACCTAAACAAGATCGACACTGAGGTCACTCGTTGTTGCCTCTCGGTCGCTATAAGGCTCTCCAACACTTTTTTTTTTTTAAATAGCAAGCATTCTGGAACGACCGGGAAAGACACCGAGTGACCACCAAAAGAGCAAGAACGACCATTAGGTCGTTCAGGCATTTTTTCCCCAGCGACCCTGCCTAAACAAGATCGACGCCGAGGTCACTCGGGTTTGCCTCTTGGTCGCTCTAAGGCTCTCCGATACTTTTTTTTTTTTCAAATAGCAAGCATTTTGGAACGACCGAGAAAGACACCGAGCGACCACCAAAAGAGCAAGAATGATCATCAGGTCGTTCAGGTATTTTTTTCGCTAGCAACCCCACCTAAACAAGATCGACGCCGAGGTTGCTCGGGTTTGACTCTTGGTCGCTCTAAGGCTCTCGAACACTTTTTCTTTTTCTTTTTTTTCCTTTTTTTTGTCTAAATAGCATCAATTCTGGAACGACCGAGAAAGACACCGATCGACCACCAAAAGATCAAGAACGACCATCAAGTTGTTTAGGCATTTTTTCACTAGCAACCCCACCTAAACAAGAACGGCGCGGAGCTCGTTCCATCGTCTTGCCTTCTTTTCCAACGATTTTTTTTTATTTGATAATTGAAGCGGAGGGTAATTTAGTAAAAACCTATACAGCTCAAGCGTGAAATATGAAGCGACGTAAGTGCGAAATCCAGGTTTTCGTTCAATGATGTTTTTACAATCAGATTTCAACTTTCTTCTCAATGGGTGTACCAGCTTTAAGCAAATCAAGCAGGTTCACGCCCAGCTTCTCCACAGAGGCCTCGATCAATGCTGCTATCTTCTCGCCAAGCTCGTTCGAACGCTTTCCAAGCTCGGCGTTCCAATGGACGCCTACTCTCGACCAGTCTTCGAACGGGTTACGTCCCCTAACCCGTTTCTCTGGACCGCCATGATTCGTGGCTACTCTCTGCAAGATGGTTGTCTTTCTCAATCGGTCGGTTTTTATTGTCGTATGAGGAGGGCTGGTTCTAGGCCACTGTCGTTTACGTTTTCTGCGCTTTTCAAGACTTGTGGAGCTGTTAAGGAAATGGGTTTAGGAAGACAGATTCATGCTCAGACGATTTTGGTTGGTGGTTTTGTGTCTGATTTGTATGTGGGCAACACTTTGATGGATATGTACGTGAAATGCGGGGTTTTGGGATGTGCACGTAGGGTGTTTGATGAAATGCCTGAGAGAGATGTAGTTTCGTGGACGGAGTTGATTGTTGCGCATGCGAAGGGCGGGGATATGGAGTTGGCAGAGGACTTGTTTGGTGAGTTGCCGGTGAAGGATAAGGTGGCCTGGACGGCTATGGTTACCGGCTATGCGCAGAATGCTCGGCCGAGGGAGGCGTTGTACATTTTCGAGCGGATGAAGAATGCGGGTGTGCTGACGGATGAAGTGACTCTTATTAGTGTTATTTCGGCATGTGCGCAATTAGGGGTGTCTAGATATGCAAACTCGGTTCGAGTTGTTGCCGAAACGTCTGGATTCGGGGCTTGTGAAAGTGTCCTTGTGGGATCTGCATTGGTGGACATGTATTCTAAGTGTGGAAGCGTAGACGTTGCTTTTGAGGTGTTTGAAAAAATGAAGCAAAGAAACGTGTATTCTTATAGTTCAATGATTGCGGGGTTCGCAATGCACGGCCGGGCTCATGCCGCTATTCAATTGTTTCACGACATGGTGAAATTGGAGATAAAGCCGAACCATGTTACTTTTATAGGCGTGCTCACGGCGTGTAGCCATGCAAGTCTGGTAGAGCAAGGCCGACAGGTATTTGCATCCATGGAAAAGCATTATGGCGTTGCTCCATCTGTGGAGCACTACACCTGCATTGTGGATCTACTCGGCCGGGCTGGACGCTTGGAAGAAGCTCTCAAGGTCATTGAAACAATGCCAATGGAGCCTAATGGAGGTGTGTGGGGAGCATTGCTTGGAGCTTGTCGCAGGCTTAAGAATCCCAGCATTGCTCGGCATGCTGCTAACCATCTCTTTGAGCTTGAGCCTAACGCGATTGGAAACTACATGTTGCTCTCCAACATATACGCGTCGGCGGGAATGTGGGATGGGGTTTCAGAGGTGAGGAAGTTGATGAGAGAAAGGGGTTTGAAAAAGAATCTCGGATATAGCTGGATTGAAGCGGAGAACGGGGAAATCCATCAATTCTCTTCTGGCGACACAATACATCCAATGTATACCGAGATTAAGCGGGCACTGGAAGATCTCCTGAACAGACTAAAGGCTCATAATGGGTACCTTCCCAAACTGGATTCTGTGGTCTATGATTTGAGTGACGATGAAAAGAAGCGTTTGCTAATGACTCATAGTGAGAAGCTAGCTCTGGTGTACGGATTGATAACTATAGATGGTGGCTGCACCATTAAGATCATGAAGAACCTTAGAATATGTGAAGATTGCCATGTGGTCATGTGTGGTGCATCCAAAATCACAGGGAGAGAGATTATTATTAGAGATAATATGAGATTCCACCATTTTTGTGACGGAAAATGCTCTTGCGGTGACTTTTGGTGATCTGAAAAATGGAGTTTGGACCTTGGAAAGTGAGTTTAAAGCAAGCATAAGAATTGGTAATCTTTGTAGCGTATTTTCCCTCGCTAAGCAAATGATGATTGTGGAAAGCATGGTTCAAGAAAGCATTGATGCATATAAACAGGAGACAACTATACAACGGAATCCTGAGATATAACCAATACAAGTTTTTATGTACATACTATACTAAACAAGGCTGAAGCATTGATTGGAAATTAACTCCAAGAAAACCTATTGTGCACACCTTTGATTCCGTAGTTCTAATGGCCTTTGTGTGTCCAATACTCCATAAAGAAAATATCATATTTGCAAGAAAGATTTGAAATTGGATACATGTTTCTTTTGTCAATCCAAAGTCCTGCCTAAACTTAGGATGGAGGGGTATTAATTCATAGATTCATACAACTGAATTGTACCATACATGGTTGACTGAGCCTGGATGTCGTTTCTCCAATGATTGTCGTCTTTGAGTTCTTAACTAATTTCTGTCTCGCTAAGGTAGCCGTGGCTTTTTTACTCTTTATTGTTCTTCTTTCTCTAGTTGCCTAATCGAGTAACTCGTGCAATTTTTTTTTCCTCATTTTGTATCGTTGTGGAGGTTTTATTGTCGTTTTACGATTGATTTGATTTCTTGGTTGATTCCCTTGCAAATTAGTGTATTTTTATTGAGCTCTTTTTTTTTTTCGATTTCCACAGTTGAGGTCTTTTATACATTTGTTTTCATTTTTTGTCGTTTATTGTTTACCATCTGTCAATTTTAGATTTATTGTCGTCAGAGTTGATTCGCTTTTAGGTTTCTGTTGTCTTTCGTATATTTTACTGGTTCCTAAAGTTAGTGTGGCCTTGCTTCTTGAACCTTTTTCGTTCGACATTGAGTTATCTTTTGTCAAGCTATTCGTTTTTATAAACTGTCGTCCTTATCCTTTTTTTGGCTGTTGTCAATTACCAGTGATCATCGTCGTTTACTAAAATTATTGACATGTTTAAATTATATAGTCTCGTGATCTTTCCTCGTTTGTGTGTGTGTGTGCGTGTTTTTGAGGTCGTCGTCCAGCTAAAGTGCGGTTGTTGTTTTCTCATGCTCTTTGTTCCGCATGCCCATCTCCTGCAAATTTCCATTGAATCATAACAGAGAGCTACACAAAATCAAACACATTCCTCAGTTATCCCCCTCTCCCTCTCCCTCTTGTTTCATCTCCCATAATTTGTAGGAGGTTTAGTTCATAGATTCAAAATACTGTAATGTAAAAAAAACACTGTAATGAGCATGGCTCAGATCTTTACTCCAAATACATGCTTGGTCTAAGGAAAAAAAAAAAAATCAACCTAGGGTTCTTAATATTTTCCATATTAAAGTGTTGTAAGTATTTATACTTTGACATAAAATCAATTTAATATTTTGTATTATAACAAAACATACTCTTAACGTGTATTTTTACTTTTAACTGATTTTTAAAACGTGAAATATCAAAATTACCGTTTTCATTAACTTACCCTTTAAAAAGTAATTAAGGCATAACAAAAAAAAGGAAGAACAGATCCTTTTGTAAAATAAATAAATAAATAACCTTCTTGTCTGTCGAAAACCCAGAAAACCAATTGAAATTGGATTTTGTTATGCACTAGAAGAGATTGGGAGTAATTTACCAAACATTATCCAATGGAAAAAAAAAAATAAAAAAATAAAACAAACACCCAACACCTTTTCGAATAAATAAAACAAACGCCCAACACCCAGATCTGAGACTTGTTCCCATTGTGTATTCACTGAACCATATCTGACACTTGTTCCACCAGACCTAGGAATCCATGTTCTTTACCTACTCTCCTCCACGTCCATGCCAAGCAACTCTTTCTTCTTTCACCCATTACATCAGCCTCTACATCACCTTCATGGTCAATTTCATACTCAGTCACACAAACACCAGATTTGCAAGGAGGGGGCATACATTCAGGGGGTAGGAGGAGGGTATGGGAGGAGAATGGGTTTCGTTCGTGGGAGACGGTAGGATCTGGGCACCTAGGTTGGGGGTGGGGACAGACCAGGGTTGGAGTGCCAAAATCTGGAGAGTGAGAAACACAGGATACACATTCATGTGTTATAACACAGGTAACAAATTGATTTTATCCGTTTATACTTTTATCAGAGCATGTTTTGATACTCAAACAGGGGCAACTTAGTACGCGGCACACACACACACACACATATATATGCTGGTATAATAATTATAACAATACCAAAAATAATAAAACTTTAGTAAGCATAATCCGTAAGTGCACATATACTTGTACAAACACACAGGATGATGTGCACCAAACATAAAGCGGTACACATCAGTTTATTGGACAGCAAGCCGAAACTACAATTTGTCCGTACCAAGACTCTTAACTGGTAAGCTCATTATAAGGCTCCACAAGACTAGCGTACAAACACACAACTTATCCACAATACACGTAGACAGAATACGAACCCCGAGTAGAAAGTAGTAATAATAAGTATAATATTATTCATATCATTATTATTAGTCCATCGACGTAGCTAGCTGTCTAATGATGTTCATGTTCCATGCTGGCCTGGAAGCTTCTCCTTGATCTTATCTACGATCCCTCTCTTCTCAGGCTGCGCACGTTCTCCCTGCTTACCTGTGATGGGCACTTGGTGACCACCGCAAGGAGTGGTGGTGGCAGTTGTGTGAGTTTGATCCTTGTGGGTCCCCGGCAGCTTCTCCTTTATCTTCTCCGTCACCCCCTTCTTCCTTCTCCCCCCTTTCCCATCATCCTCTGACTGCAATCATTATTTTAACCAGTAACACAGTCAGCCACGTACAGTTTTTTTTTTTTTTTTTTTTTTTTTTTTTTTTTTTCAGTATGACCAGGTTACAGAAAACATATGAAAGAGCGTTAATAAAAAAAAGATAGTTTTTCTTTTATTTAAAAAAATAGTTAATCTCATTAATGGTAACAATATCATTCGAATAAAACGGATTTTTATTTATAATTGTTGATTCCAATTCTACTATTTCGACTAGACGCAGCTCCTATAAAGGTTTAATTAAACTTTTGATTTTGAATGATATTATATTTTTTTTCTTGTGTGATAAAAAAAGAAATTCGGAAATTTATTTTATAAAACTGAACATCTTTGAAGAATCCCTACGAGCGTATTTGGAGAGTGTACCCGAATCATGAATCATGATTTAGGTTCTGTTTCAAATTCTTATTATCGACGGGAATTTTGTTTGATTCAAATGATTTGTGAGGGGGAGAAACAATATGGCAGAATCATGTACCAAAACTAAACACCCAGTACTTAATTTATAGAATCCCGAGGAAAAAACCTCACACAACCGTTGGCCTGAATCAAAACTTTTTATTTTAGTGTTTTTTTCTTATAAAACTTTGAAGTTCTGTTTAAACCTATTTTTATTCAAACCAACTAGATTGTAATAAGTGAGCGCAAAAGAAAGATACTACTTACTGAGCTTCCACTTCCAGAGCGATGAAGCTTGTGTCCTTCCTGACCACCAGTGGCGCCAGTGGTGGTGGTTCCATACCCAGTGGTGCGGGTAGTGGCGCCACCGTGAGGAATGGGGTTGCCGTACTCATCGGTTTGGCGAACCGGGTTGCCGTACTCGTCGCTTTGGGGTGGTGGAGCATGCTTGTTTTGGTGATGTGCCATTTTTTTTCTTCCAATTATCAAGGAACAATACTATTTCAAAGCTTAACACAAAATCTTGTGGTGAATGTGTAATGATTTGTGTGCTAAAGGATTGGAATTTATAGAGACAACTTTAAAGTTAAAGCTGAGAGATATCATGTAAGAGTTAGTGGTGGACATAGTGAGGAGTTCAACGTGCATGTCGTCAGGTTCTTACACGTCCTAGGAAAAGTTATACTATACGGTACACGTTACTGCTCTAGGGCAGGTGGCGATGTTTTATCATGGCACCTGTCCTCCGGTGTCGGCAATGATAAGATTTGTTATTGTCCTAGACTTATATGTTGGATTAGTTGAAAGTAGATTAGCTAATGAATGATGACAATCTCAGGATGTCTTTTATTATAAAGAAAATGAGACAACATATTTTTAAAGATGTATCCGTTTAAATTTTTATTTTCATAATTTATATTATTTTATTAAATAATTATATTAATTAAGAATAAGGGATGTATTCTAAGAATAAGTTGGATAATTTTCTTTTTATTTATTTTATTTTATTAGATTTTTATTTTCATAATTTATATTATTTTATTAAATAATTATATTAATTAAAAATGTATTAATTAAGAGTAAGGGGTGTATTCTAAAAATAAGTTGGATAGTTTTCTCTTTATTTATTTTATTTTATTTATTAGAATATATGAGAGTTCGATACTCAATATAGCTCGGTGTATTAGTGATAAGAATTTCGTCTATTATTGTTACTTATAATATTTTTTGGGACACACCCGCAGTGTTTAATACTTTGGTTCATTTTAAAATTCTTGCTTTGTTTGCTTATATAAAAAAACAAAAACATTCTTGCTTTGTTTAATATGTTGTGTGGTTATAGGTATATGATGATCATATGAGTGAAAATTGGATCATTATTCGAATAGAATTAGACAAGGAAATTCGTTCACACCAATAATCTTTTTCGTTTATTTGAGGAAAAATAACGATAAATGATGATATATATGACGACGATGATATATAGAAAGGATATTTACATTTTTATACCTTATATTTTAAGTTTACTTAAAATTTATACTTTTAATTTTTTATCTCATTAAATATATACTTTTAAATTTAATTTAATATATAAATTTATTCCTTATTTCGGTCAATAATTGATTTTAATATTTAAAATGACCAAACTATCTTGAAGAAAAAAAGAGAAAATAAAACTAAAACTTTCTAATATTATAAAAAATAAATATTAAAAACACAAAAAAAAATTTTTTAATGGTATTTTAGATTTTTTAAAGTTAAAACTGTAAGTTAAAATTTTTTTTTTAGTTTTTTTTTATTTTTATTTAAAGATGCGTTAGGTATTTTAAAAATTAAGAGTTAATTATGAAAATGTATAAATTTAAGTATTAAATTTAATTTAAAAATATACATTTAATATGGTTAAAAATTAAAAATATAATTTTTAAATATACTCGAAACACAATATATAAAAATGTAAACATCCCTGTATAGAACGCACGTATTCAAATTGGAAATCTTGAAGGTGATGAACCGACTACTTGTTAGGGTTGCAAGTGTCAATAGAATTGTCGTTGATGTAGGTCCTGAATAGGGCCTGATTGGTATTTTCTTGGGGTTTGGTTTCTCGATAGGAATGAAGGGCTCTTGTCGTTTGAAAATAAGCCGCGTGGAGAGGTGGGGGAAAGTAATTATCCATATCTGGATGAGTAGATTTCTATCCAAGATTTTTCATTTCGTCAATGCCACGATTCAAGAACCCCTTTTTTCTCATGAGAAAGACAATTTATCATTCATATAATAGACAAATCAATTTAAATCATTAAGTATAAAATACTTAATGATTTAATCACAAATTATTTTTAAGTTGTTTTATCAGTTGTGATTTAATCACAAATGATTTTAACAATTTAGTTTTTCTTAATCATTATTTAGCACTTGAGAATTTATGACAAAGTACGATTAAGATTTACCGATCCTACCGTAGTTCGATCATTTTTCTTTACCAATTTATTCGAGTGAAACAATCGAATTGATGAGCTTGATCGTCAAAACTAACATAAATGAGTATATTTTTTAACATTAAAATTAACATAAATGAGTATTTTGTCAACGTTTCATAATTTAAGGGGAGTTGATGTTGCGTTTTAAAAATCAAAAGATAAAGTGTTACACTGATCATAATTTGAAGGGATTTTTTTGTAATTAATCTTTAAATTTTCGGTATTCATTTGGTCAAATTAGTAGTATCCCAAGTAGCAATCCAACGAGTAGTCTTCCAATTCATTAAGTTCTATAAGCCCAAAAGTCCCTTAGAATATTGCCAAAATATTCTATGTTTTTAGAGCCGAAATTTAATGGCAATATTCTATGTTTTTACATTAACATTCGAAGTTTTCGAGAGCCTCTCAAGCCTCCTTTCATAAGATTTTTTAAGAATGACTACCGTATAAATGCGCTCGCCCAGCGAATGATAGCTTCCGTAAATGTTCAGACGTTCCAAAATGGAACCCAAAAGCAACCTATCGCCCAATGGTCCTCGATTCCCATGGAGCTTTTCCCTCTAACAGCCCCTTCTCTATTTTGATCTCGTTCATTTTGTTGATTTGAGTTTAGAATTTGAGTTTTTCTACAGTAAAAAGTTCTCACAAACAATCACATCTAACTTTTTTGTTACAGTAAAAAGCTCTCACATAAAATCACATCTTAACTCAAATTCTAAACTCGAATCAGCGAAGTGAACGGGACTATTTTTTCTAATTTTTTTAACTCCATAACTTTTTTTTCCCCTCTTTCTGACGCTATTACTAGTACACTTTTCCTCTCATTCATTTTTATTATAAATTTACTTTTTTAACAATTTATTTACATGATCGACAACCTGCTAGTACATATTCTTTGAGGTTTTTTTAACTTATACTTTTGTTTTTAAAAAACCATATTAGACATTTTTTTTAGAATATATGAACAGAATATGTGGTGTTTCTAATTACAAAATTATGTATAACTATAATATATGTTGTTGATTGATCAATACACTATCCATTCACACTAAAGCATAATTGATAAGAATTTTCTATGATAAAACTATGGATGATAATTTATTATTAATATTAACAAAGATAGTTTTACCAATATTGATGAATCTAGTTTTTTTTATTTTTTTTATTTTTTAGTGAAGATGGTCTTTAATTCAATTAAAAGAAAACTTACAATTCTATGGATTAAAAAAATTCAAGATCGATAAAACAAGAAGTCGATTGACTGATAAAGGCTTAGAGCAGCATGCAATTTGCAAACTCATATTGTTGTGTAATATATATTATGATTATTCTATCTTATTAGTTTGCTTCCTAATTAAGCTAAGGCGGTCTTCTTGGGGAAAAGAAGTACACTGAAGGCGTTGAAATCTAATAACAAATGAAAAGTCAAGCTAAAGACGGTTAGTAAATCTCACTGTAAAATAAAAAATGAGTAAAAAATAAAGATAAAATAGACACATATATTTTACGTGAAAAACTTTTAAAGGAGATGAAGAGACAAGTGTAAAAATATTTTACTATAAAAAATAGAGATTTCAACATTCTCTCGATATTACATAAAGAAAATAATAAGAACCCTTCTCTCTCATACATTTGAGAAACTACTAACAAAAAGCAGAAAAAAACTAGAAAAGCTAATGGCCCGTTTGGTAACGTTTTCAAAATGATTTTGTTTTCAAAAGTAAAAATGAGATTATTTTGAGAATCATTTTAGAATCGATTTTGAAATTGTGTTTGGTTGATTTTTTAAGAGATTATTTTGAGTATAATAAAAAAATAAAATCATGTTTGGTTATAATTATTAATTAATATATTACAACATTATTGATAAGTACTAAAAAATAAAAAACAGAAAAGGAAAAATAATTTTCAATCACTTTCTAATTTCTTAACAAAAATCATTCTCACTGTTTTTTATTTTCATTTTTATTTTTAAAATATTTACTAGACAAATACGTAAATCGTATTCATTATTATGCTTCAAAAGACGTATAAAAATATTTTAAAAAATAAATAAAAATCAATTCTAAACGTATCTTAAATTTCTCTTATACTATGAGAATATTCTGATAAAGAGAAAATTAGATGACTAAAAAGTGAAGAGAGAGCACACTATTTATAGGCCCAAAACCTCCCCCCTCTTTCTTTACCTCACGTGTTCTTCCATTCTCTTCCATTCTCTTCCTTTCTTCTTTCTCTTCCATTCTCTTCCTTTCTTCTTTCTTCTTCAAACTTGTGGGCTGCTGCCTTCTCTTTCCTTTTTTTTTCTTTGTTTTCAGCAGCCCATCATATTTGACAAAGACGTCTATAATAAAAGAAAAAGAAAAAGAAAAAAGGCATGTACCAACCAATCCCCAAAGAACATAATGCATACAAATTATCAATTTTAAGATAATTAAACTCATTGTGGGTGTGATTGTAAATAGCAAAATGCCATGTATTACCACAACTTCTCTTTGGTGATGTGTATAGAACCAACCAGTACAACGATATATTGGCCATCTATCTTCTCAGTTTTAGCTTTTTGAGATTCATTAATTTTTAGGTATTGTAATATTTAGTTAAATTAATTATGATTAATTAATTAAATTTAATAATTAGTGTTAATTAATTTAAAATTAATAAAAGATTTTCAGTTATAATTATCATGTAAAAGACCATTCTCTTCTAAAAAGAATTATTTTGAAATTAATATGATTGTCCTTCAAACAATTTTAAGTATTGATAATTAATCTTTTAGAATTTAAATAATGAATCATTTCATATTCTATTTAAATTAAATTTTAAAGTCTAATTATCAAATTTACCTAAAAAATCTAAATTTATTTTTTCTTTTTCCTTTTTTTTTTCCTCTCATTTTTCTCTCATTTTCTCTCTTTTCCACGTATACTCTCTTTCCCACGTTCACTCTCTCTCTTCACGCCGGCCACCGACCACCGATGAAATTCCGGTATCGTTTCGCGACCCACACCATTGGAAATCACTCGACGAGCTGAACTCGTTGACATGCCGCACGACCTCCATCT